CAAAATTTTCATGGGGGAGAGCCCCCGGAACCCCCATCCGGGCTCCGCGGTCAGTAAAAGGGGCCGCTCCGACACGGGAGCCCGGGCCGGTTCCCGGCCCCAATCCGCCCCTGCATCTGTTCCAAAAGTTTTACGAGATTTCTTGAAGCTCTAAAGTTCTTCAGTTTCTCAACATATTGGAATGCTTCTTTTTCTGAAATTTGCTTTTCATTGTCCGCGATATCATCTTCGTTATCACTACCTATTACACTAATTCCACCATAATGTAATAATTATAGGTTCAATGCTTAATAGTAAATAAGCCCCAATGCGGATATGGGAATTGACATACACTTGTGTCTCCAAATTAAGTTAAATCAAGTCTGTGCTTAGGGATGTGATCTGAAGTTGATCTCCTTTTCTAAGAAGCCCTCCCTAATTCTTTTATTTGGGTCTATATATCCCCATGCATCGGCTAGGGGCATTAATCCTACAAATCCGTCGTGTATGCTAACAATACACCATGGTAACTTAAAATACTTTAGCCCGTAGACGTTAATTACAATTTATAAGGTCAATTTATAGTGTAAAACAAAGAATACTGGAGACGGGTGATTAATGAAATATATAAGACAATATGAAGTAGATATAAATGGGGGGTCATTAAGGTGGATTAAGATCCATTAAAATATAGTTTACTGAATTGAGTAATACTGTGAGGATTAGCATGACGTATTAAACATTTACTATTGAGTCCAAATTCACCCTACTATAATACTCTCAGATTCGAATATTAATCGGTAACATATAAAAACAATCATAATACATCATATCAATATCAACATATATAAGTACAAATATAAAAATTAATAAATTCTGTAAAGCGGATGGGAGTCGACACATCGTGGATATGTGTGCCCTTACTCTGTTCAATAAAAATCATAAAACAAAAATATAAAAAATCAATGTATATAGAATACAAATATCAAAAAAATTGTATGTGGTTTAACAAGGTAATTGTATTGTCAGTCTTTATCAAGTAAATAAAATAATTAAAATCGCTTGTTAAAAGATTTGTTCCTAAATTAATTTCATGTACTGGTCCACTGTTATTTTGCGGGCCATTATTAAAACAGTTTCCTCCATTATTATATGGACACATTGGATGGACCCCCCATAACAATCGTCTCCAGTATCATACTTCTAAGTATTGGGTGGTCCATCATTAAAATTGTTGCCACCATTATTATATGAGCCAATATTGGGTGGGTCATCATAAAAATCGCCTCCGTTATTACAGGGCCATTTTCTTCTTTAAGGTCTTCGATCTGTTTCTGATGTTCAATCAGGTGGCATATCACGTCACTCTTGCTCGACTCCAAAAAGTTTTCTCTCACGCCCAATCTCTCAATTTTAAGTTTAGCGTTTTCATGAGCCTTTTCTAATTGTGCTTTTTCGACGTAACAATTCTTCGAAATCAAGGTGTATCTCTTGTTTATATTTATGTGCGCTTTCAAGTTCCGAGGTTAATTCAGAGATTTTTATGTTTAATTTATTAGTTTCAATGTCACTGCTTTTAACTGTTGCTTTTTACTAACTGTGATATTGTTTTTATTTATGCATATAATGTTTTTCTGTGATATAATTTAGCCTTGACTCGTAATATTCAAATGAAATGAAATGAAATGGGGTTTAACGTCCTTCGTAATATTCACCATATGTTTGGTGCAATATAGCCCGGTTGGGGCTGACGTGCCATAAAACCACATTTCATTTCATTTAACTGTTGCTTTATCACGCCATTTAAATTTTGAATTTCATGAAACGCTCGTATACCAATTTGAGAAAATGGAAGTTGTCTCAAAAAGAATTTCCGCGTTTCATATTCATGTTTTCTTTTAGTGTCGCGCTCGGTTTTAGCCGATGTTTTATTTTTATTCCTTTGAACATTTAAAGAAACAGGGGCCTGTTTCACGAAATTTTAACTAAAGACCCCTACACGTAAGTGATTTATTGAAATAAAATTGAACCATGTTAGTCCCAAAATGACCTGGTTTGTGTCGTATGAACATTAAACCCCATTTCTCTCTCTCTCCCCCGGATCAGACAATTTTGGGTTCTTATTCCTGCACCTAGAACCCATTTGTAGAACCTGTTATGAATCATTTTAATATTATTGTGCCCCAAATGCCCGTTCGGCCCCGTAGAACAAGATGGGCTCTAACATAGAATCAAATACCTTAAAGCGATAATTTCATATTTTCTAAGAAAGTCAAAACATAATTATTTCTGTCTTTTGCTCAATAGGTTGTCAACTCACTATTTTACGATCATAGGTATTATTCTCCCACTTAAAAATCATTCAACCCGGAAATAATAACACAATTACCTCCCTTGTTTTCCTATCCTCCCCCCCCCCCCCCTGGAATAGCTATCTTCAAACATTTGAATTTGAAGTTGAGAATGTTACTTTTGCCAATTTCTCAACTGGCAATAGTGAATTATAGGATTATTCTTTAACAAGGTAGGACTGTTTATAGATACCATCTATTTTAGGGCTTTATTTTAATACATTTTAAAAATATAACTTAAAAATATGAAATTGCAACTTTAAAGGCAATGACTTGGTCTCTCTTGCCAATTTGACATATACATGTACAATTTTTGATAATGCTGACAGCTTTTTAACTCTGATTTGTCAATGTTCTACAACACATTGACCAATTAAGTCTACAAGAGTGAATGATTTACTCCAAATATCACATTCATGTCCCCCCCCCCACCTGTGTGAGTTGTCATGTGTGTCGGCAGGATAGAAAGCTGAGAGAATGATTTACTCCAAACATCATATTTATGTTTTTTCCTCCGGTATGAATTCTCAATAGTATGTTTGTAGACTACCACCGGTAATAAAAAGTTTTCTACAACTGAAATGAAATGAAATGGGGTTTAACATCCTACTGTTCTGCTCCTAACCTGGACTAATGAGAGAGAGAAAGAAATGGGGTTTAAGTTTAACCTCCACTCGACACAAACTAGGTCATTTCGGGACTAACACATGGTTCAATTTTATTTCAATCATTCGCTTGTGCGTAGGGGTCTTTAGCAGTGGGAGGAAACTGGAGGACCCGGAGAAAACCCACGAGGTTGGACAGGCGACCCTACTCCTTGTCACGAACAACCGGAGAATCGAAACCCCGCCAGTTGACTCAATGACAGACTGTATGATACAGCGCGCGCATGCTAACCATTCATTATGCCATCCCCCCCCCCCCCCCCGAGCTAATGAAGACGGGCATACGCCATACAGTGTGCTATGAGTGAATTTTGCTCGGGCAGCGACGCTACGACCTACTCTTATGTCGAATTCCAACTGCCAAGGGATCTTTTACGTGCATGGCAATGTGTACACAGGACCTCGGTTTTTCGTACCATCCAAACAACTAGACAGCTGTCCTTGTCAGGCTCTCCATCCTGCATCACTGACAAGGGGAAACCACGCCAAGTTTTCTACAAACATCGCATTTATATGTTCCCCCCCCCCCCCCCCTATATGAGTTCTACAACTGTGTGAATAATTTACCACAAACATACACATTTATACATGTAAAGTTTTTCTCCTGTAGGCTGAGTAAATGATTTACTACAAACATCGCATTTATAAGGTTTTTCACCAGTATGAATTTGGAGATGTCTCTTTAGATGACTACTAGTGGTGAATGATTTACAACAAATATCACATTTAAAGAGATTTTCTCCAGTGTGAATTCTGATATGTCTCTGCACATTACAGATTCTATCGAATGATTTACTACAAACATCACATTTATAAGGTTTTGCTCCTGTGTGAATTCTGATATGTATTAATAGACTACTACTCTGATTTACTACAAACATCACATTTATAAGGTTCTTTTCCTGTATGACTTTTTGAGTGTCTATGTAGATTACCATTCCGAAGAAATCATTTACCACAAACATCACACTAATAATACAAAAACATAATATGGAACACAATTACTATTTTAATTAAAGCGACGTTTCGTTGAGGGTTCTCTCAATGTTTTCATCATTTGCTTGAAAATGTTGAGAGAACCCTCAACGAAACGTTATGGGAGATAAGATAAAGAGATGGCAGTTCTCGCTATAATAGTTAAAAACTAGATAGTGTAAACATAATTTGCTGAACATTTCAGTCAAATTGATCCACTATGAGCCGAGAAAGTAGCGGATGAAAATTTTGCACAGTCTCGGTCATCATTACTAAAATCATTAATATAAACAGCATAGTCTCCATTATCCACTTTTTCTGATTTAATTATCAATGGCCGTTAGCGGCATATATGAATCTAATCCAGCCAACATCGAAGGCTAGCCTTGACATCGAGAGTTTATTATGGTCTGGATATGTTAATTAATGTCTAATTGATAATTTAGATAACATTTCAGGCCTAAAGAAAGACTTGTAATAAGCAGATTTTGCTCTTGCATAATGCATGTTTGATTAAAATAGTAATTGTGTTCCATATTATGTTTTTGTATTACGTATGTCAATTGCTAAATGCCGCGCAAAGAACATCAAACTTATAATCTATAATTTGCCCTTCATTACACTGAGCAGTTTCAACATCATCATTTTTTTCTTCTTTAACATGACAATACAGTGGATATCGTACGGGATCGATAAAATATGCTAGATTACACAGCATGTCGGAATACTCAATTGTCGCAATACCGAAAGTATTATAATACCCTGGGCCCTTATTCACGAAAACTTAAACTAAGATACAATCGAATTTTTAAGAAATACTGCAATTCGATTGGCTGACCAGTAAAATCAATTTGCATATATCCAATTTGCATATTGGTCAGCCAATCGAATTGCAGTATTTCTTAAAATTTCGATTGTATCTTAGTTTAAGTTTTCGTGAATAAGGGCCCAGAACTTAAAATATGATAACCATTTTTTATACATTCAATATTTTATTACATTATAATATAACATAAAAATCTACTTTGAATGTATATATTCATCTAGTTGATTGTTTCTGGTTCTGCTTTGAATATCGTAAAGCGGATTCCTGAAATTGGTCTTCTAATGATTGAATGCTTTCAACCAATCCAACGTCTTTAATTTGAGCGAATGTTTTTATATCATGTAACATGTGTAAACATTTGGCATACGTTAAATCTGTTGACACTGTATCGTCTTCATCTTTGTCTTCATTCGAAGTTACATGTTCATCTTTTTCCTCCTCATCACATTCCGTCGGGATCTCGTTGTCGAAATTGATAAAGTCTTCTTCTGATGTGTTTGAAGACAGCACCAAGGATTTGATTAGTTTAGCAAGCGATAAATCGTCTTCTTCTTCGTCAGTTGATACATCAAAACCACAGCGTTGAAAAGATTTGGTGATGGTCGATACTTTCGTTTCCCTCCATGATCTAACAATCCAATGTATGGCATCTAGAACTGTTATCTGTTTCACTAAGTCATTGGCCTGGTTACATTCGTCAATTCTGGTTATTAAATGGTTCATCATATGGAGCCTGAAACGTGCCTTAAATGATCTTATGATACCCTGTTCCAATGGCTGTAAAATTGATGTTGTATTTGGTGGAAAAAATTTAATAATTACATTGCTATAGGTATCACTGATATGAGACGCTGCATTGTCCATAAACAGAAGGATGTGACGACGTTGACGCCTCATTTGACGATTGAGTTCTTCTAACCAATCTGAAAAAATAGCACTTGTCATCCAAACCTTACGATTGGCCAACCAATTGACTGACAGGTTGTTTTTGTCCACACCCTTAAAGCATCGAGGATTCTCCGCTACTCCGATCACAAGGGGCTTCAGTTTCTCACCTGTCGCACTACAACAAAATAAGATTGTTAATCGTTCGTCTGAATTTTTACCACCTTTAGCGCTCATTTTTTTATCACATAATGTTTGGTCGGGTAATGCCCTAAAAAACAAACCAGTTTCATCACAATTAAATATGTTTTCCTGAGAATACCCTTCAACAATTGACGGAATGCGTACACGGAATTCTTCAACAATTGACGAAATGCGTGCGCGGAATTTTTCAACTTTATCCAGATCAACTGCCACTTTTTCTCCAGTAACTTTGAAGGTTTTGATGTTGTAACGATCTTTCCATGAAGCTAGCCAGCCATCTGATGCTTTAAAATCAGTACAATTTGTTTCTTTCGCAAAACGCAATGCTTTAGTCTTTATTATTGGGCCTGATAATGGAACATTTTTACTTCGGGCACGTACGAACCACTCGTGCGTCTTTCTGCTAATGTATTCAAATTTAGTGTTCCCGTAAAATCGTTTCTTACTGCTGTTAAAGTTATCAGCAAGCTTCAGTTTGAATTCATCTTTTCTTTTTAAAATGTCAGATACTGTTGTACGGCCAATTGAATACTTAATTGCTAATTCCTTCTGTGTAGGTCGTGGAACTTTCTCAAAATCTGCTATAAGTTGCTGCTTGACATCCAATGTCAAATCCGTACGGGCACGCTTTGCAGGACGATCACACCTTACGACCACATCTACATCATCAGTTTTATCTTCTTTAACATGACAATATTCATCTTCATCATCAGTTTTATCTTCTTTAACATGTATTTTGCAATGTTCTTCTAAATCATCATATTGTTGAAAAATCTTATCACATAAAACACACTGATAGAAAGTTTCAACATCTTTGGTTTCCTGTAATGTATAAAAGTTATAACATCATTAGTTTCCTGTAATATATAAAAGTTATAACATGATTAGTTGCCTCTAATATATAAAAGTTTTAACATCATTAGTTTCCTGTACTATATAAAAGTTATAACATCATTAGTTTCCTGTAATATATAAAAGTTATATCATCATTAGTTTCCTGTAATATATAAAAGTTATAACATCATTAGTTTCCTGTAATATATAAAAGTTATAACATCATTAGTTTCCTGTAATATATAAAAGTTATAACATCATTAATGTCCTATGAGAGAGAGAGAAATGGGGTTTAATGTCCACTCTACACAAACTAGGTCATTTCGGGACCAAACACATGGTTTAATTTTATTTCAATAATTCGCTTGCGCGTAGAGGTCTTTAGCAGTGGTAGGAAACCGGGGGACCCAGAGAAAACACATGAGATTGGACAGGCGACCCTACTCCTTGTCACATACAACCGGGGAATCAAAACCATGCCAGTTCACTCGATAACAGCATGGACGTGCTAACAATTCGGCCTTCCAACCCCCACCCCAATTTCCTACGAATCCCAGGTAGGTATTAATACATTTCACAGACAAGTTGTAAGTTAATTAGTCACTGAATAACTCCCCTAACAGAACACCCCCCGACCCCACCCCTGACAGAACAAACACACCCAACCCCACCCGTGACAGAACACACACCCCACCCCACCCCATCCATGACAGAACACCCCCTCCCACCCCTGACAAAACACCAAGCATCACATTAAACAGTCACCAAATACGTCAAGCCAGTGTTACAAGATTTAGTAGTAAATATTGTTTACTGTTTAATATTTCTAACACATTCTAACAAACTAACCAAGGGGCAATTTTAGAGAGAGAGAGAAGTGGGGTTTAACGTCCACTCAACACAAACTAACAAAGGGTCAATTTTAGGGACATTAAACCCTATATTATTGAAGGTTATAGCGTAATATTATTATAACGTAATTGTAGGAAACTTTATGTTATGATCAAGCCTGGAAATAAGGCACCTGTCACTGACAATGTCAGGCACAGATTGAGGCTTTGTCAGGCACAAAACCTCTGGTGCCTGTCATTTTGTCAGGCACTGATTTGTCTTTTTTATTGATATTATTAATACATGTCCGGCATTAAGTTAAAAATGTCAGGTACTATTTCATTAGTGCCCGACATTTTGTCAGGTACATCTAAAACCGTTATTTCCAGGCCTGTTTATGATTTAATTTCAGGTATTTGTGTGTATTGGTAACCACGAACGAATATATGATGGATTGAATGACACAAACTAGGTCATTTCGGGACTAACATATGGTTCAATTTTATTTCAATAATTCGCTTGTGCGTAGCGGTATTTAGCAGTGGGAGGAAACCAGAGGACATGGAGAAAATCCACGAAGTTGGACTGGTGACGAATTGAAACTACGCCAGTTGACGTACCATTTCTCTCTCTATTAAGGGGAAGAAAATATAGTATATTTAGGGTTGATGGTTAAAGGGAGACCGTATTAAAATCACCTAGCAACGACCCTGCATATAAAGCATGCACATCCAATACGCGTCCATTTTTCACTGTATGACAGTAGGTAATAAAGTATCGCCATCTTGGTAACATGTTTTTCTGTTCTGTTTGGTTTGGAGTCTCTGAATATGCTACATACATGTATTTGGAATTTGATATTTCGCTGCAGCAAACAGCACATCAAGTATAGATATCAATTTACTGGGTTGGGGTAACTTGTTGGCGATATCACTTCGGACATTAAATAAAGCTATTTCACATACACGCTGGGGTAGCAGACATTTAGAATTTAATTATAGAGTATTTCATAATTTGTGACACCAAAATGCCAAGTCAATAAACAAATTTCAATTATAATGCCAAATGCCATTTAAAAGAACAATTAATGGATAATGATCTTATAGAAAATATAAACATTTTTCCGGCACACTGGTTTAAGCTGCTATTAATATTGTATTTTGTTTTGTTTTGTTATATTTCATTTTCTAGTATAAATTAGTAGTGATAGTGACCATTGGATAGAATTGATCACGTGATAGGAGCACATCAGTTCATTGTACCAAGAGGTGAATATTGCTGTATTCGTTACTCCTCGGTTTTATGGAAAATACGACTAACGAATTGGTAAATAGTATTCGTAACTACAAAAACTGGCTCGGAAGTCGTGATTTCTACTGGAGAACTGGGGAAGCTAAAATTATATCGAGTTCACGACATATGACGTAACAAGATGGCAGCCAAAGTTACAAAGTTGAACGTTTTTAACTGTAAATTACTATTTTTGTAGTTATATGTTTGTTGTGGATGTGCATATCGATCTGAATGCATGATTTATAGGATTTTACATATTGGTAAAGATTCTCTGAACAATGACAAGAAACACATCAAACAGATACCAGGCTTTCCATTTTGTATTAACTTGTTTTTGTACCATACGGCAGTTCAGGTCAGACCCGTCAATCCCTCAGAGCTGAAATGCAGTAGGGTAGTGTAAAAAATGCAGTAGAAACCATGATTTGGCAGTAGATTTCCAAAAACGCGTAAATTCGCACTTCCAAGGGTAATTAATTTAGAAATGATACACTGAACTGGCCCAACAATACAAAAATTGCATTAAATGGGTAATAGATAAAATATACACAAGCAATGGTACCATATCTAAAATTATTTATGTAATTAAACCAAAATTGAATATGTAGCCTACAGAAAGAAATAATTAGTAACGTAAAAAATAATTAAAATTACCAGTCTTAGATTCTATAGTATTTCTACATTAGGAATAGAGGTGAGGGGGCGTAAAAAATTAGTTTTGCATAACGACTAAATATTGGTATCGATTTAATCATGCCCCCCCATGGCGATTATCCTCTCAATGTACGGGATTTCTTTCTCCTGTGATTGCGTAAATCTGCTTTTACATTTATTCGAGAGAGTGTTCCAATATCCCAAATCGATGTTGATAACCGAAAGTCGCATGTTTACATGCAAAAAGTTGCTTCCCTTAGTTACCTAGTTTTGGCGAGAAAATTAAAAAACTCTTTGTTTGAAAATGCGGTAGAAATCTATTACCGCGCAGTAGAGCGGTACATGAGGCCCTTTTGCGGCACTTTACCGCGTGATGCGGTAGAGTTGACAGGTCTGGTTCAGGTTTTAGGATGGTACAGTCTATATCAATAAAAATGTTCCAGTAATTGTGGTTTAACGGCCACCCGACACAAACCGTATCTTTTCGGGACTAAGGTCCTGCGTTTCTTGGAATTTAAAATGTCCACATACCGTAACAATTAATTAGATATTACTAGTAGGCATATGCTAAGCTAATTAACCGTGCCACGCATCGACATGTAATTTTTTCACAGCTTAATATACGATAAATTCTTAGATTGATTATTTAACATCAATTAAGAAAACTAAACCAAAATAGACCATCAACAGTTTATGTAGATATTTCCTCGCTTGAATTCAATTGGATTTAAAAGAGGCCGATCAAAAGATTGACCAATACTTAAGGGTTACACTGGCTTGTTTATGTAATTCCTCATATGTTTGTAAAGACTGAACCGAACTGAAACGTTTTTGGACTGATATTCCTTTTAGCGATTTAAATTTCACAAGGTGATTAGGGATTTTAATAATCCTTGAATGGATAATGACAGCCATGTTGATTTTCCCACTTGTGTACCCGAACACGTCAAGTGTGGTATGTACTATTTTCTAGTCGGAAACACCATTTTTCCAAGTGGTAACATATACAGCATAGTAAAAAATTAATGTTATTTTTTAAGACATGCAGTTAGATATTGATATGCATCACAATGTGAAATGTTGTAACTTCCATACTCATGCTTGTACATCTAGTTGTCAATAAACTGTTATTATTATTATTATCTATTCAGTATAGTATTCACCCTTCCATTTGGTTTTTTACTCACCATATCGGGCTATTTCACAACAAAACGATAACCAAAGATGCTGACGTGACTCTATAACACCAAGTGACAAGTCATCCAGTAAACAATAGTCTTCACTGAAGCTTACTTTCTTTCCGCATACACAAATAACAAAGACAACGAAAACTGCCTTTCGTTTCAAAGTTCATTTCCGGTATAACGTGAAGAAGGTTGTATACAAAATTAACTTCCGGACCTGCACGGCTCGAATAACCCACAATCATTTTTTTTTTATTTCTGTAGTACGGTGCATTTATTAATGTTTTAAATGTATATTTGTACAAAAAAGTCTATGTGGTGTGTTTTTATGTCAGCTTGGTGACTTGGAGTCTAGCCAAGATGCAGTGTCCAGTGTGTTCGCTGAGCTGTTTTAATGTATACCTGGTGTGCACTTTCTTGTTCAAAATTGTAATAAATAATCAAGTATTGATTTATCTCAATAGCTTAATTAATAATTTGTGTAATAGGAATTTCATTAACTTGTAAATAATTCATATATCTTTAGTTTTTCCCTGCTGCTCAATATTTATTGTGGTGTCTGGTTTTTCTTAATTATTGAAACACCTTTCCCAGGGTACATGTATGTTTAATTTTCTAGTTTTCTTTCTGTTATGTTTGCTAAATGTCCAGTGGCGGTGCCAGCCGTCGGTGGTTGGAGGGGCAAAGCTGGGGCAAAGTCGAAAGTTTTAACTCTTCTCCCCAAGAAAATTTTGAACAACGGGCTGCCAAAAATGCAGCCTGGCAGTATTTCAGGCACTGATCATTGAGGTACAGTGTCAAACGAACAGACTTGCGAACCTCGACGAAGTCCACCCACGAGCGCCAAAGTATGGAGTCCTTATGGAGGGTATGGGGGACCTTCCCCCCCAACATTTTGAAAAATAGATTGTCGGAAATGCTGTCTGACAGTATTCTTATCAGGGCAGACCAGATTTATGGGGGAGGGGGCAAATGCCCTCCATTGCCCCCCCTTGGTGCCGCCACTGTAAATGTCTCTATTTAGTTCATTTCGATTATTTATGTTTTTTTTGTATTCTTTTTTTCCATTTTGATTTTATTTTCTTAGCATGTTTGTAATATATGTGTATTTATCTTTTCACTCTTTTTCTTAGTTTTTATCGAATCTGTTTGGTTTTCATGGGTGGTTGGATGGCTGAATGGTTAGCGCGTGAGCATTGTATCATACAGTCTGTCATTGAGTCAACTGGCAGGGTTTTGATTCCCCAGTTGTAAGTAGCAAGGAGTAGGGTTGCCTGTCCAAACCCGTGGGTTTTCTCCGGGTCCTCCGGTTTCCTCCCACTATGAATTATTGAAATAAAATTAAACTTTATGTTAGTCCCGAAATGACCTGGTTTGTGTCGAGTGGACGTTAAACCCCATTTCTCTCTCTCTTGGTTTTCATCGAATCTTTTTGTTTTGATCTGTAAATAAAGTGTTTATGGGGGAATTATGGGAGATTAGATAAAGAGTCGACAGTTCTTGTTATAATAGTTAAAAAATAGATAACGTAAATAGAATATGCTGAAAATTTCAGTCAAATCGCTTCATTCAGAACCGAGATATTAGCTTTGAATTTTAGGCTAGTCTCGATCATCATTACTAAAGTCTATAGGATAAAAAACAAAGTCTCAATTATCTACGTTTACATTTAATCAGCCTTTACAAAATGTATTCCAATCCGCTAAATATCACAGACTAGCGATGGCGTCGAGAGTTGATTATGATCTGGATAAGTTAATTAATGTCTAATTAATAATTTAGACAACATTTTAGGCCTAAAGAAAGACCTGCAAAAGGCAGATTTAGCTCTTGTATAATGTACGTTTAAACAACTGCTGTGTGTATTCCTCAAATTACCCTTCATACTGATATAAGCCCGGAAGCTCCGGCTACGTTTCGTTTATCAAAAACTCTGTCTGTAAAAAGAATATGTAAGGGTTATCGACTGGGACAGGAGGTTTCAAGTTAATTGAGCTCGTGCACAGTTGTCTACCGAGAGGTCAATGCACGAGCTTAGGTGTTTATCTAACTTGACCAGAAGGTCGATAACTGGCTTTCACACTGGACTCTTAGTTTGTTTAAGAAGTTGAATGAAAATGAACGGATACAAAACAGACAAAATTTTCACATTGACTCATTAACCTGGAGATCCTGCGATGAGCGAGAAAATTCATTAGGATTTTCCCGCATGGTTCCCCCTTATCGGTGGCACATGGCAGAGGACTGGCACAGGACAATGTATTAGTGTGCATGTTAAAGACCCCTTGGTACTTGAAATTGGCTGCCTGGACAAAATTTCCCTCATAGTACACTGTATGGTATATGCCCGACTTCATCAACCCATTGGGAGTAGAACGGTAGGATGTTAAACCTCATTTCATACAGAAGATTTTTTATTGTTCTTTACTCAGAAGGGAGGGATGGGAAGCTAGGGTTAGGGTTAGGACTGAGAAGGGAGGGACGGGAAGCTAGGGTTAGGACTGAGAAGGGAGGGAAGGGAAGCTAGGATTAGGGTTAGGACTGAGAAGGGAGGGGCTGGGAGCTTTAGTCTGAATATAGCAAGTTTATCTATTATGGATTGATATAGAGAGAAATGAAGAATCCAGTGGATCCATTTTAACCCGAGGAAGAACCTGAGATACAATTGAAGAGTCCAGGCGAAGAATGATCAAAGTCACATTTTTTGTCTTTTCGCATAAAAGGCAAAACAGACTTTTGGACGAGAATGTTTGATGCTAACAGAACAACGAGTGGGTTTAATTACAACTTCAAAATGTTTAATACGAATCATAATTTCCAGTACAACAACTGACTTCCACTTTTCAGCCAAATTAAGGTCAAATAAATGGTGATGGCCGTAAATGTCGGGGAGGTCATTTCAGAAGGGCCTCGGTTCGATGTGACTCCGATCGTTTTTACCTGAAAATGATTGTTCCACATAAAGCTTATACAATTTGCTACCAGATGGCGCCATTAACTGGGGTTCGTTGAAAAAGTGACTTAGATTGTTCTTCCTGGGGGCTCTTCAAATGTATTTGAAGCCTATTTGCTGATTTCAAGTTTTCAGCACCAATATTGATATTAACTTGAATACACTTTACATTCTTCATGATTCGTCAGCCATCAATCTGAATAAAATACACTATCGATGGCCTACACTACATGAAGATCTGACCGGTTGTAGCGATATGTAGCGCTAGGGGTCATATGAGCGGCTTTTGACCCTATGATGTCAGACATTTGATTAACCAATCAGCATTGATGCTACTAGTGGATTACCCACAGTTCTGTGTAAAACACGCCTAAAGCCAGCTAAAGCTCGTCGTAACAGACCGTTTCATTGGCTAATAGCTCTCATCATTCAGAGCATGTCAATGATAACAACTCTTCCCGATCCTAGTTTTAGTAAAGACAAGTCAAACGAAATTTTGAACTATAAAAATGAAACGAAATAGGATCTGTGTTTTAATCAGAATAAACCAACCATAAACCTGTAATGATGTGAAACATCGTACGTAACTAACGTATGAAAATTAATTGGTGACTAGCTTTTTTTTCGCACGTATACAGTGAATGGCCATTTTGCTCAGTAATCCCAGCCAGAATTTGGCTATTTTCTAAATTTGCGTTAAAATTTAAAATATTTGTTTTAGAACTGAAATAAATTAACTATTAGTCAATCACAATGCAAAAACATCAATAGAATTGATTGTGTATATCTGAAATAGACACGACCGACGCACAAAATAGTGCCAACTATTCGCAGACGCTGTCATTGAAGACAACGTCAATTCTATGAGTTGTAGATGTTATTTTTGTGAAAAATCATTGGAAGAAGAGAGAACACGTTGGGACTGTACGAATTATATAGTTTTTATAGGTGCAAAGGACACAATGCTGAAGATAAACCTATTGTTTACAATTTAACGTGTTGGTGACCTCATGACCTGTGATGTGTAGATCACGTGATATGGATATCATGGCTATTGACTGTGTCTGAGATACTTCTCCGCAGGTAGCGAGTCTCAGATGTTCAGAATGGTGAAACATTAGCATGTAGGAATAGTGTATTAGTTAGAAAGGACATCCAAGAGGAAAGATTAAAACTATTTAAAAATGGCCAAAGAGCTATTTATCCCATTTCGCTGGGCAAGTGCGCATTGCTATTTAGCCGTACCGGTAATATACGACTCTCATAGGGGCCGTAAAAAGGAAAGAATAAACAGGATAGAGTCGTTACCAGTCTCCGTTTGAGAGTTCGGTTCTCTCAATGCAAATTTTGAGAATACCATTTCTGCGCATGTGCACACAGACATTCAAATAAAACGAACATCCAAGAATTTAGAGGCGATATTTATGCAGAAAAAGCAGTGATAATAAAATCAAAATTCAATGAAGTGAATTTCAAAGGAGATAGTATTTTTGTGAACTTCTCGGGTTGGGGAGATCCGAGACTGGGTCATGTATACAACCTTCTACCGGAAGTTGACGTTACTTTGTTCACTGAACAGCGATTTTCTTTACTTGAGAAGAGAAACAGATCAGCAATCCCCTGTTGTGTTTTTATAAACAATCATCATTCAGTCACAGAAAAGTCTCACAAATAGACAACAGAAATTGTTAACAAAATAATGGTGAGGTGATTTTGGATTGAACAAAACAACACATAGGCTAACGATCGTTTTATTTAAATGATTTATTAAGTCAAATCCAACCAATCATTCCCGTGTACACATTGGCGTGCACGTAAAAGATCCCTTGGCAGTTGGAATTCGATATAAACTGAGTGACCCCAACTTTCTCAACAAGCATATCAACCAGTTTGATGTTATATGTCTGTTGGAAACTTGGACTAACTCAGAAAGTGAATTAAGTATTGAAAACTATAAATTTTTCCATTCCTATAGAAAAACAGCCAGAAGAGGTGGTGTTTTGGTCTATATAAAAGATAAGATATTTAAAGGTATTGACCACTTTCAATCATGTAGTGACGACATCATTTGGATAAAATTTAAAAAAGAGTTTTTTAAACTACCCAATGATATTTTCATGGCATGTGTATACAGTATACCTGTCTCATCAACACTATATGAAACAGGTTCCAAACATGATACTATTCAAATATTAAACGATGAAATAATTGATTTTAGTACTAAGGGTGACATCATTATAAGTGGTGATCCAGGGCTTGCCACGAGACGCGAGCAATTGCTCGCGCTGTGCTCGCGTAAATCTACTTTTACGCGAGCAGTCTTTGCTCGCGCAAAATTTTAAGAAAACCCTGTAAAAATAATCAAAATATTGACAAGTTTATTGCCGAAACTAACCCAACAATGTCAATAACGTCATAAATTCGTCTGTCAAACTGAGATTCACCCAGCTGCACGCGGCATTTCCTCCTGAAATTTGATTGGCTAATAAAGTTACTCGCAACTTGTGTTACTAAAACGTCATGACTGGTTTTCCTACGAACACCAGTAACAAACACGTGATAATTGAGTCAAAGGTAAAGAATGTTTACATCCGGCATTTGGCATTCACGCTAAATGAACACGTTTCAAACTAATATTTTATCGGTATTTCCTATTTTATCAGAACTTCGGTTTTTATTCCATTGTGCAGTCGTATAATTTTCAATCTAAGCGTAATAATGGCCAAAGGCAACCTGATTGCCCTATCCACATTTATTTCATGGGGTGAAGAAATCCATATGGAAATTGGTTTTAATAAAGAAGAGTACGTATGACTGTCAAAAACAGAAAGCGATGGTCACACATGTTTACTGCAAACTTTGTGCCAGGAATAGCAATTTTCTTAATGATTTTAAATTGAAACAATGTTACAAAATGTGTGCTCACGCAAACAACATTTTGCGTGAGCAATTTTTATTGCTCGCCTTGCTCGCCCAAACCTAAATTTGCGTGAGCAGTCATCTGCTCGCCATCAATTTATTCGTGGCCAGCCCTGGTGATCTAAACTGCAGGACAGGTGAATGTGCGGACTTTGTAGAAAATGACTCGCATTCACCATATGTACAATTATATAACAACTATGTAAGTGACAACTGCAGACGTAGATACAACAAAGATAAAAAGAAAGATAACCAAGGTCAGAGACTAATTGATATTTGCAAATAGGCCGGAATTCGTATACTCAATGGTAGAACCCCTGGCGATTCATTTGGTGAATATACCTCTTACCAGTATAACGGTCGTTCTGTTGTAGATTATACAATTGTTTCTGATTCCTTGTATAAAAAAATTTCTAGCTTCAGAATTTGTCCACTTTCTAGCTATTCAGATCATTGTCTGATCTGGTTTATATTTGATGTGAAATATTGTATTAGTGCTTCCACTGTAAGGAGTTCAAATATACCCTTCAGTCTTTTATGTTTCAAGTGGGAAGCTGAATCAAGAACATCATTGCAAGAATATTTTAATGCAAATGAGTTAATTAAATCCTTAAATTTTCAAACTACCAATGACATAATTGACATTAACAACAATGTATTACAACTTGAAACAGTTCTAAAAACTGGTTGCTTAAAATGTTTAAAACCTAGAATACTCAAGAAAAGGAATAAAAATGCTAAACCATGGTTTGAAACATCATGTGTACAAATGAGAAGACGTCTGTCGCAATATGCTAAAACTTTTGAAAAATTTCATAATGACCCAACGGTACGTCAAACATATTATAGGTTAAAACATGAGTACACGAAACTGATTAAATCTAAGAAGCGTGAATTCAAAGATGAATTACTTACTAAACTTGAGCATTTAGATAAGTCTAATCCAAAACTCTTCTGGGACGTTATCAGTAAACTTGATGATTTGGCTAAAGACAAACAAGATCAATCAACTTTTTTTGATCCCAAAACCATGAAATCTCACTTCCAGGCCTTGGGTAAAATAGATGCAAATTCTACTGATTCTTTCGATAATAACTTCATGATTGATATCAAACAAAAACTGAAAGATTTGGAACAAACAGGAGCTTATTCTAATACGTTAAATGAGCCTATTAGTCTCAAGAAGGTTCACATTCACATTACAAAATTAAAGAGTGGGAAGAGTGAAGGATTAGACAGAATAAGCAATGAAATTATTAAGGCGCTTAAAACCCATATCTCACTAAAGTTAGTGGAAATATTTAATAGTTGCTTAAGGCATGGTTTTTTCCAACATAGATGGAAGAAGGTTATATTGTACCGATCCCTAAGGTCAAATCACAGCAGAGTGCGAATGATTTTAAAGGTCTTACAATAACAAGCTGTATTGGAAAGTTATTTATTAGTATATTAACTGAGAGGTTAACCCAGTTTTTAAATAGTGTTAATGTTCCCTCTAACTTCCAGTGTGGCTTTAGAAAACATTATAAAACCTCTGACAATATCTTAATTTTAAGAGCTTTAATTGATAAGTGTTTCAAGAAGAATAGATGCCTTTATGTTTGTTTCATTGATTTTAATAAAGCCTTTGATAGAGTTTGGAGAGAAGGTCTTTTCTACAAACTATTAGATTTAGGTGTAAATGGTAATGTTTATAAATGTTTAAAAAATATGTTTCATAATACCCAACTACAAGTCAAAGTTGGAAATACACTAAGTGAAACTTTTATGAATGAAGTAGGTGTCATGCAAGGAAATAACCTTAGTCCGTTATTATTCAACATCTTTATTGACAAGCTTCCATATGTTTTAAATCATTCTATTGATGTCCCTAAATTAAATGATACCCCTGTTCCTGCATTACTATATGCTGATGATATTTTTTTGTTTTCTTTATCAAGTAGTGGTTTACAAACCTCATTAAATATAGTTGATAAATATTGCAAGCAATGGAGACTTAAAATTAACATTAAAAAAACATAGGTAATGATTTTTAATAAATCAAGAAGAAAACTTTTTGACAAATTCAATATTAATGGAAACTGCCTAGAAATTGTTCAAGAATACAAATACTTAGGTGTTATTATACGATGTTCTGGTTCTTTAACTAGAGCCGTTGACAATTTAAACGATAAAGCATTGAAAGCATTTTTCAAAATTTTAAAAGCCTTTTCAAATTTTGATGTATCTTTGAACATTAAAATAAAACTATTTGATATCCTAGTCAAACCCATACTATTATATGGATGCGATTCCTGGGGCGATCATATTACATCCAACCATACAAACTGTTACAAGCTTGAAAAGCTGCAGTTAAATCTTTGTAAACACTTTTTGCATGTTCATAATAAAACTTCAAACTCTGCTGTATTAGCTGAAGTTGGTCGGTTTCCGATTCTTCTTGATGTTAAATACAGGCTGGTCAAGACATGGATCGAATCAAAATCAAAACAAGCCAACCCCCTACTTCAGTCTGCTCTGGATGAAATGAAAAATGTCAGCAGTAAATGGAGTAATCAAATTAGATATGTTTTAGAGGAGACTGGACTGGGTGGATTGTATGAACAACCTATCTCTCAGTCTTTCAATACAGACGCTTTTCTACAGATGTTCAAACAAAGATTGAGGGATATTGATGTTCAGTCTTGAAAAAGGACAAACTGTTAAGAACTTAAATAATTGCCTTACAACTAACACAAAAAATGATTTTTATTATAAAATTAAGACAGATTATGATACTGAGAAATACCTGGATCTACCAGATGAACAAAAACGCCAGGCACTGAGCCAGTTTAGACTCAGTGCACATAATCTTGAAATAGAGACAGGAAGGCATAAAAAAAACTTTTTGTCCCCAGGGATAAGAGGACCTGTAAAAATTGTACTAGCGGAGAAGTAGAAGATGAAACGCACGTTCTTCTCCATTGCTCCGCCCACAATAATCTGAAACGCACGTTCTTCTCCATTGCTCCGCCCACAATAAAACTAGTTTGAATGATTCTATTATGCATATAATGAACGATGATAAATGTATACAAGATGTTGCAACATTCGTATATGAAATGTTTAAGAACAGACATTAAATACCATTTGCTATATATGTAAGGCCTAATATAATATACCTTAAAAGCATTAGTAATATAATTTAATATACTTTTAGAAACCTCTGTAAACCTTATTCTAAGTTCTTTGATGTTTATTATTGTATTGTACTTTGTATTGTATGCTTTACCATACTCGTGTATATATCATGCAGTTGTGTAATAAAGCATTATTATTATTATTTAAAGTAGCATGTGCCAACCAGAATTAAATATTTGATCTAGAGACCTGAAATTTTGCGCACAGTTTGAAAAAATTATGAGAACCATTAATCTGTTTAAATTGTCAAAATCGGTTCAGAACTTTTATTTTTGTAGCTGGTTTTATATACCCATAGGTAAGCAGCATTTACCAAAATTCTGTAAAAAACGGGCAAAAATGATAAAATAATATTTTGACTGACTGAATGACTTTGGTACAGGCTCAAATTTTACTCACATGTGCTAGATATACACATGTACTGAAATCTACCACAGAAATATTATTTTTACCTTTTATTTGGACAAAATTTAAAGGAAATCAGCAATATTTCGTACAGAAAAGTAATAAAAATAACAATATTAAACAAAATCATAAAAAAAAAATCATTAGATCTTGAAAATTGGTTTTCTGATTATAGAATAATAAAATCAAACTAGGAAGTAGGCCTATGTTTTCTTTGACCAGTTATGAAATATCAAATAAAATATGAAACTAAATAAAAGGAAATGAATCGTAAGGAACAAAAAACAGTTACATGTACAGTACATATGTCTACATCATATTTACTAAGTTAAAATCAACAATAAAACTATTTTGATCGTTTTTAATTGGGATAAAATTAAAGGAAATTGGTCTATTTCTGACTGGAGTTGGAAAAAATAACAATATCACAATAACTAAAAAGACATATTAAATCTTAGAAACTGGTTTTCTTTCTGATGTTGAAATGATAAAATCAAACCAGAATTTTAAGTTTTCTCTGAATAATTATAAAATAACATTTTTATATGCTTTACAATTTTAAAATAACAAAAAATAAAACTTGACAAATGACCATCATATGCCATACAAACAAAACCTGTAGCCTAATAAACTATACCAATAACAATAAAAACAATAAGGCAGCTAAATTTCAATCAAATCTTTTACCAAGCTCCAGCAACCTGAAAAATTATAGTAGGCCTAAATATGATTAAACATGGATGGAATTGAACTACGCCGTGATATACTATACTAGCAGAATGCCCGAAACCGGATGTGGTAGACTAACGTCACCTGGCCTATGTTACTCCCCGGTCCGAGCTACCCCTATGCCCCAAATTTCAGACTCGGGGCAGACCTAGTGTAGCCGCCAACCCCGAACAGCCCGGGGGTCATAACCCCGAAACCGGAAGTGGTAGACTAACGCCACCTGGCCTATGTTATTCCCCGGTCCGAGCTACTCCTATACCCCAAATTTCAGACTCGGGGCAGACAAATATTAGTATAGATGAAGAATATTTTTATACCATACTACTGAAATTGATAAAGCACACGATTCAAACTAATTTTATTTTTTAGATTTTTTTCGTAAATAACAAATTCAGACTCAAAGAATTAAAATTGTTAATATTTCAATTATTTAGTCGCATTTGCGCGTGTCTAACAGTCGTCTAACTGTAATTTGATATAGTCTCGGTCACCAGTACCTCATAGTGCAAAGCGTACAGGAAATATTCGTCTGAATGATAGAGATTACATTTGGCACGCCTTCAGCCAAGACAATATGGCCGATAAAATTTCGGTCACCTCACAAAAATTGAATATTTACGACTTTTACGTCGACTTATGGAAATAAATGAAGATGGATCTTATAAAGGAATATTTCATCCATAATTTAGCAAAGTTTTTTCCACTCAGTATCTTCCATGAAAAAAGCAAAGAAATTTCAAACTTTTCAATCGGAGAAAAAAAATATTCTTACCTTGTTAGGTGTGACAAAATGTCCATGTGGAACAACCTTGACATCTTAACTAACTGTTTTCGGTTGAATGGAACCCGTATCAGTTGCAGAGAACCGACACGAGGCCGTAATGCAAGACCTACTTTTCGCGCCATATTTGTTACAGCCAATTAAGAAAAAGGAGTTACGTCCCTTTTTCGGTTGGCACACGCTATTTAAAGGGGATAAATCCCTAATATTTGGGACCTAGCGTCTGGTTATTCCAATCAACACCGCTAGTATTTATTGCGCATGCTCTCCCGATAAGAATATGGCATCTCCCGATAAGAATATGGCGTCATTGTTGGACATGACTCATGGAATATGTCTGGCCCCGTTCGTTTTCCCGAATTGATTTTGATTTAGATCTAAATTGTATGATTAATTTTGTTTAAAAAAGAAAGAACAGAAAAGTGTAAAATTATTTTCAAAAATATGTGATGTCATTGATTAGACGTGTCATAGAAATATTTCTATGAAAGGCGTAATCTGGCTTGGGCAAGATTTGGTAAATTGACATGCACATTGCCAGTCTTGCCCAATGATGTTATAACTTTTATATATTACAGTAAACTAATGATGTTATAACTTTTATATATTTCAGGAAACTAATTATGTTATAACTTTTATATATTACAGTAAACTAATGATGTTATAACTTTTATATATTACAGGAAGCTAATGATGTTATAACTTTTATATATTACAGGAGACTAATGATGTTATAACTTTTATATATTACAGGAAACTAATGATGTTAAAACATTACATCAATGTGTTGTTTGTGATGAGATTTTTCAACAATATGATGATTTAGAAAATCACAATAAAATACATGTTAAAGAAGAGAAAACTGATGATATAGATGAATATTGTCATGTTAAAGAAGAGAAAACTGATGATGTAGATGAATATTGTCATGTTAAAGGAGAGAAAACTGATGATGTAGATGAATATTGTCATGTTAAAGAAGAGAAAGTTGATGATGTAGATGGATATTGTCATGTTAAAGAAGAGAAAACTGATGATATAGATGAATATTGTCATGTTAAAGAAGAGAAAACTGATGATGTAGATGAATATTGTCATGTTAAAGAAAAGAAAACTGATGATATTGATGAATATTGTCATGTTAAAGAAGAGAAAATTGATGATGTAGATGAATATTGTCATGTTAAAGAAGAGAAAACTGATGATATAGTTGGATATTGGCATGATAAAGAAGAGAAAACTGATGATGTAGATGAATATTGTCATGTTAAAGAAGAGAAAACTGATGATGTAGATGGATATTGTCATGTTAAAGAAGAGAAAATTGATGATGTAAATGAATATTGTCATGTTAAAGAAGAGAAACCTGATCTTGTGGATGGCTATTGTCAAACTGAAGATGATACTGAAACTGTTTATCAGTGTAATTTGTGTGATGAAGAATTTAATTTAGAAACTGATTTAGAAAAACACTGTGAAATACATGTTAGTCAGCAAGGGCAAACAGGAGAAAAACCTTATAAATGTGATGTTTGTAGTAAATCATTCACTTTAAACAGTAATCTAAAGATGCACATCAGAATTCATACCGCAGACAAACCCTTTAGTAAATCATTTAGTCAGAATGGTAGAATGCAAAATGGAGAAAAAACTTATAAATGTGATGTTTGTGGTAAATCATATTCTAGAGGTTATGACTTACGAGTACACATGAGAATACACACAGGGGAGAACACATATAAATGTGATGTTTGTAGTAAATTATTTACTACTAGAAGCCATCTAAAGAACCACATCAGAACTCATACAGGTGAAAAACCTTATAAATGTGATGTTTGTGGTAAATCATTTAGTGAGAATTTTAGTTTACAGAACCACAGGAGAATTCATACTGGAGAAACACCTTATAAATGTGATGTTTGTGGTAAATCATTTAATAGAGGTTATGACTTACAAGGACATATCAGAATTCACACCGGAGAAAAACCTTATAGATGTGATGTTTGTGGTAAATCATTTACTCATCGTAGTAATATACAACAACACATTAGAATTCATGCTGACAAAAAACCTTATAAATGTGATGTTTGTAGTAAATCATTTAGTCAGACTGGTCAACTGCAGGACCACATCAGAATACATACTGGTGAAAAACCTTATAAATGTGATGTTTGTAGTAAATCATTTAGTCAGAGAGGGAATCTTAAGATACATGTCAGAATTCATACAAGACAAAAAACTGTATAAATGTGCTGTTTGTAGTAAATCAGTTACTACCAGCATTTGCCTTAAAAAAAGAACTGACGACGATTACGTACAATCATAGATATGTTACGATAGAGAAACTCTATGTTACTTGTACACAGTGACAGGCGATCTCGTTCAATCTCGCGTGAGTCTACGGTACCGTACTGTTAATGTTTACATCGCGGACATCCGGTTAGCAGATTTTAAAGTTATGGATAGATATTTTGGAGTTAACCAGTTAGAAATTCGTCAGGAAAAAATTAATGATTTTTTTATTATGATATTACGCTTTTGAAACAAGGTGCCTGAATTAAAACGGAACAATATATCGTAACAAAAGCTTTGTCAAAAATCGGAACCGACCGCTAAAAATCAGAACCAGACGGGACAAAAAGCGAAAATCCGCTTTAAAGCGGGAAAAAATCATGTCTGCTGTAATGAAAATGCTTATTTGCGTAGTCTCTATTTTATTATTTATTTATTTATTGATTATTAACATTTATAGAGCGCTATCTTCCACAAAGCGTGTTCAAATGCGCTGTACAATACAATTCAATAAAATATGTAATAAAAATAAATATACATAATTATAAGAAAACTAAATAAAACTATGAAGTAAAATACAACAGGCTAGCTTAGAATAAAATCTGATATCACAAATGGGTTTAAGGGTAGAACAGAATTATAAGTTAAAGGCTTTCTATAACAAAAATGTTTTAAGAAGTGACTTAAAAGAGAATAAATTGGGGCAGCATCTTATATTAAATGGTAAAGAATTCCATAATTTGGGCGTCTGGACGGTAAAATCGTTTGAATTTGTATCTAAATAAACATTTTACTGCCCTTATCTTTTGACATTTACATGAAATGAAATGGGGTTTAACGTCCTACTGTTCTGCTACGACTGGGCTAATTAAATTAAATGAAAGGGTTTTAACGTCCTACTGTTCTGCAGCATCTTATATTAAAAGGTAAAAAATTCCATAATTTCGGTGCCTGGTCGGAAAAAGGTCGATCTCCAAAAGACAAAAGTCTTGCTGATTTATTTACAAGTAAAAAATGATCTGCCAAATAAATGTGCTTATGCGCGCTTTACAAAGACATATTATAGATCAAGACAAGATAATAAAGCTCTGGCTGGATAATCCATATTAATGGAACACTGTGTAAAAGTCTTTTTATACGCCCACATTGAAATGTAGTCATATATTGTCGTCACCCCTTCCATCCGTGGACACTCTAGGGACTAAGGTTAATATTAGATTTACTTTAAATTTAAATACAGTGGTTCAGTTCATGAGATGGAGAAGCCTATTGATTTTCAATGATTTCCGATAATTGCTGTCAGAGTTATGGCCCCGATCACTTTGAAAAATCTTGTGGATGCTTTATGACCATAGTTATCATCTGATTGATATTATATTTATACACCATGTTTACGCCTTGTTTCGATTGACTTCGGATTGATACACAGAGTTTAAGGTTTGATTTTCAATGTTTTTTCATAATTTGAACAGTTAAATCCATGATATTAAACTTTTTGTATACTAAACGTTAGCATGGGCCAAACAAATTTCTGATAATTATTTTAAATAAATATGTCTTTATTTTTAAAAGTTGCAATAGCAGTGATATTATTAATTTCAGTTGTTAATTTATTCCATAACAATGGTGCTTGTATATAGAATGACCTGTTACCATATGATGATAAATAGTGGAAGGCCTGTATATAGAATGACAGGTTACCATATGATGATAAATAGTGGAAGGCCTGTACATAGAATGACAGGTTACCATATGATGATAAATAGTGGAAGGCCTGTATATAGAATGACAGGTTACCATATGATGATAAATAGTGGAAGGCCTGTACATAGAATGACAGGTTACCATATGATGATAAATTGTGGAAGGCCTGTACAATAGAATGACTGGTTACCATATGATGATAAATAGTGGAAGGCCTGTACATAGAGTGACAGGTTACCATATGATGATAAATAGTGGAAGGCCTGTACATAGAATGACCTGTTACCATATGATGATAAATTATAGGGGTGTTATGTAGAATGAGCTGTTATCATATGATGTTAAATTATAGGGACCTTCATACAATATTTTATATTCTATTCTGTATGTTATTAGTAGCCAGTGTAGACAGCATAAGACAGGGGTAATACATAATGTGCATCTACCATCTAGTTGCATTTGGAAAGATGAACTATTTTGCCAATATTGTGTGTATGATAATATTGTGTGTATGATAATATTGTGTGTATGATAATATGGTGTGTATGATAATATGGTGTGTATGATAATATGGTGTATATGATGATATTGTATATATGATAATATTGTATATATGATAATATGGTGTGTATGATAATATTGTGTATAATATTGTGTATATGATAATATTGTGTATATGATAATATGGCGTGTATGATAATATTGTGGGTATATGGTAATATTGTGGGTATGGTAATATTGTGTGTATATGATAATATTGTGTGTGTATATGATGATATTGTGTGTGTATGATGATGATATTGTGTGTGTATGATGATGATATTGTGTGTGTGTGTGTGTGTGTGTGTGTGTGTGTGTATGATGATATTGTGTGTGTGCATGTGTGTATGATGATATTGTGTGTGTGTGCGTGCGTGTGTGTATGATGATATTGTGTGTGGGTGTGTCGGTGTATGATGATATTGTGTGTATGATAATATTGTGTATTAGCAACTTTTACAAATGTTTTTGACATGGTCTTCCACATTCGTGTTACAATCAAATATTGCACCGATATTATGTGCCCACTTTGATGAGGATATTAGGCAGGTTCCTATTGAAATTGTTATCATTAACTTTGGGTAATTCACTTTTCAAGCCAATAATAAGATATTCATGTTTTCATAGTTCAGCAATACAATTTGCAACATTAGATTTATTATTATGTTAATAAGAAGATATTTGGTTTTTCCGTTGTTTAATTTTAGAAATTTTGTGACATCCAGCATCTAATATCATCAATATAATTTTCAAGATTAGATTTAGTGTAGATAAAATCCACATTTGACGCTGGTTTCAACAGACAGAATAACTGTGAATCATCCGCGTATTAATGGAATGACAAACCATCTTTCTTTACAATGGGTGTCCTCGCTGAAAGAATTTCCACCAGGCATTGCAAGTAAAAACTTCGTTCCGCGTGTTCTTATCCTCAGTAAGAGAACCATGTTTCCACGTATTGGATTAAATTCTATGTCAACGACAAAAACTAACGTTTGTCAACATACCAGAGCGTAATGAATGCACAGGAAAATAATGCTTTAAGGTAAACAATGAGGTCACGTGAGACCGCCTGCTCGATGGTGTCACCTATAAATTATGCTCCCTTATCTCTAGTGTCAAAAGGTGATGAGTAGAGGCTGAAAAGAATCCGACCTATTACTGATCCCTGTGATACTCCGTGTTTTAGACCTAATACCGGCAATTTTATATTTTTTGTTTCCAATAATAGTATTTTGTTCTCTATGTTTCCAATTTGAATTGTTTCTTTTGAATAGGATTTCGTCAAACGAAGCAGATAAATCTACAGCCTCAGTCGCTACCTCAGCAGTTTTCGTGGGGTCAAGGCCGACTATGTTTTCATGAATCATGAAGAGAATATAAATCTCTGATCTCTACACCTCTTGTCATTTTGCCTATCATCTTTTCTTAATTTTTATTTAGGTGTAAAATTGTAAACAATATGTTGCCAAATAAGTAAATGAAATGAAATAGGGTTTAACGTCCTACTGTTTTGCTCAGAACCGGGCTAATGAAGATGGGCATTTACCATACAGTGTGCTATGAGGGAAATTTTGTCCGGACAGCAGCACTACGACCTACTAGTCTTACATCGAATTCCAACTGTCAAGGGATCTTTCACGTGCACGCCAATATGTACACGGGACCACAGTTTTTCGTCCCATCCGAACAACTAAACAGCTGTCCTTGTCAGGGCCTCCTTCCTGCATGACTGACAAGGGGGAACCACAGCGAAAAATCAGGATGAACTTTCTCGGCCAATGCAGGGATCGAACACCCGACCTCCAGGCTGCGAGCCAGCAAATAAGTAAAACAATAATATATGTAAATAATGATGTCCTTGGAGGAGTGGTGGGGTGGATGGCTGAATGGTTAGCGTGTGCGCGCTGTATCATAAAGTCTGTCATTGAGTCAACTGGCGTGGTTTCGAATCCCAGGTTGTACATGACAAGGAGTAGGGTTGCCTGTCCAACCTCATGGGTTTTTTCCGGGTCCTCCGGTTTCCTCCCACTGCTAAAGACCCTTACGCGCATGCGAATTATTGAAATAAAATTAAACCATGTGTTAGTCCCGAAATAACTTAGTTTGTGTCGAGTGGAGGAGTCGTAATCCGATGCTTGTTTCTGGAATGGGGTCGCAACCAGAAGAACACTGTCCTGTTTATTCACATACCAATAAACACAGTTCATCGCGTGCATTTTGCATACCGATAGTTCATTAGCCAATCACGCTATTTTACCGGCAATTCGCCTAATAGTTTGGATGCAGCTATGGCGGGTGTGGCGCCAGGCAGGGTAAGCTTACTCGTCCGAACACCTGTTTCCACTGTTTGTCATGTATTTTGTACACGAGGAGCAGTCCATTTGCTAATTACACTATTTTGCTTGAATACACTATTTTGCCTATAACGTTTTTTAGGACTTCGAATTCTGTCTTATGGTTTGGATTGTTCGTACTTGGTTTTATTTTATTAAAACGTCTATATAAACTTTTATAACATTCTCAAAGGCTATAAACTCCCAAGCCTATTGGCTGTATCGTTTAAATTAAATAAAACATAGGTTATTGCAGGGAATTCACCTAGTTTCAGTGATATTAAAATGTCTATATAAACTTTTATAACATTCTAGAAAGCTATAAACTCCCAAGCCTATTGGCTGTATCGTTTAAATTAAATAAACATAGGTTATTGCAGGGAATTCAGCTAGTTTCAGTGATATTAAAACGTCTATATAAACTTTTATAACATTCTAGAAGGCTATAAACTCCCAAGCCTATTGGCTGTATCGTTTAAATTAAATAAACATAGGTTATTGCAGGGAATTCACCTAGTTTCAGTGATATTAAAACGTCTATATAAACTTTTATAACATTCTAGAAGGCTATAAACTCCCAAGCCTATTGGCTGTATCGTTTAAATTAAATAAACATAGGTTATTGCAGGGAATTCACCTAGTTTCAGTGATATTAAAATGTCTATATAAACATTTATAACATTCTAAAAGGCTATAAACTCCCAAGCCTATTGGCTGTATCGTTTAAATTAACCCTAACCCAACCCTAACCCTAACCCTTTTATAACATTCTAAAAGGCTATAAACTCCCAAGCCTATTGGCTGTATCGTTTAAATTAAATAAACAGATTCGATCTGTCTCGGGAGGTTGGATGGCTGAATGGTTAGCGTGTGCGCGCTGTATCATAAAGTCTGTCATTGAGTCGACTGGCGTGGTTTCGAATCCCCGGTTGTACTTGACAAGGAGTATTGTAGCCTGTCTAACCTTGTGGGTTTTCTCCGGGTCCTCCGGTTTTCTCCCACTGCTAAAGACCCCTACGCGCAAACGAATTATTGAAATCAAATTAAACCATGTGTTAGTCCTGAAATGACCTAGTTTGTGTTGAGTTGACGTTAAACCCCATTTCTCTCTCTCACTCTCGATCTCACTTTATTGAAATAAAATTAAACCATGTGTTAGTCCCGAAATGACCTAGTTTGTGTCGAGTGAACGTTAAACCCCATTTCTCTCTCTCTCTCGATCTGTCTGGATAAACAGATTAGGTTATTGCAGGGAATTCCCCTAAATTTTATACACTCACATTTTCATGTGGACGTATATTGTCGTCGGCCCTATCCATCCATCCGTCAACAATTGCTTATGGACACTCTACTAGTCACAGTTTTTATCCGATTTCAACAAAATATAGGTCTATCTCCTAAAGATCTTGGTTCCTTTTGATATTTGCATGTATCGGACCATAACTTCATGGATTATGGCCAATGATTGTACGAAAAATCATATTTGTAGCTTGTGGACACTCTAGAGGTCACAATTTTGATCCGATTTTGATGAAACTTGAAATGCTCATTTATAACCCCAATATCTTGGTTCCTTTCGATATTCGCACATATCGGATCGTAACTTCCTGAATTATGGCCCTTGATTGTACGAAAAATCGTGTTTTAAGCTTGTTGCCCCTAAAGAGGTCACAATTTTTATCAGATTTAAAAAAAAAACTGTGAATATATCGCTATTATACACTAATGATGGTTGAGTTTGAATGTCGTGAAAATCTGAAAAAAATTGTACGCAAATAGTGTAAAAATATGGTATATCAAGGGGGGGGGGCCTGAACGGTTAGCGTGCGCGCGCTGTATCATGAAGTCTGTCATTGAGTCAACTGGCGTAGTTTTGAATCCCAGGTTATACGTGACAAGGAGTAGGGTCGCCTGTCTAACCTCATGGGTTTTCTCCGGGTCCTCCGATTTCCTCCCACTGCTAAAGATCCCTACGCGCAAGCGAATTATTGAAATAAAATTAAACCATATGTTAGTCCCGAGATGACCTAGTTTGTGTCGAGTGGACGTTAAGCCCCATTTCTCTCTCTCTCTTTCTCTGGTATATCAAGTTTGTGGACCCTGTAGAGGCCACAGTTTTTATCCGATTTGGATGAAACTTTGAATATATGTTTTTGTCATGAAGATCTTGATTTCTTTTTATAATCACACATATCCAAATGTAATTGCCTTGATTATGTAATTTCCTGGATTATGGCACCTGATTGGTCGAAAAATCGCATTTTTAGCTTGTGGATTCTCTAGAGGTCACAATTTTTTTTTCAGATTTTGAAAACTGTTTAGATATATCACCATTCCACCATAATGAAGGTTGAATTGGAATTTTGGGAAAATCGAAATGAAACTGCCCAACAAAATGGCCGCTCTTTGTACGCAAATTGTGTATAAATATGTAATACAAAGGTTATGGGCCCTCTATAGGTCATAGTTTTTATCCGATTTTGATGAAACTTAAAACATATTTTTATATTCCAAAAAATCTCAGTCCCTTTTCATATTTGCGCATTTAAGACCATAACATTCTGGATTATGGCCCCTGATTGTACAAAAAAATCCTTTTTTAGCTTGTTCTCTATCCATCTCTTGCAAAATATGGGCATATCCTGTCTGGCAGCTGCTGGTTATCCAATTTCAACGAAACTTGAAATATAGGTTTATCTCCCTAAGATCTTGGTTCCTTTCGATATTCGCGCATATCGGGTCGTAACTTCCTGGAATATGGTCCCTGATTGTTCGAAAAATCACGTTTTTAGTTTGTGGACACTCTAGAGGTCACAATTTCCATTTGATTTTGATGAAACTTGAAATGCACGTTTATAACCCAAATATCTTGATTCCTTTCGATATTCACGCATATCGGACCGTAACCTCATGGATTATGGCCCCTGATTGTATGAAAAATCATGTTTTTAGCTTGTGGACGCTGTAGAGGTCACAATTATTATCTGATTTAAAGGACAATATTGGTGGCAGTTATAATTACATATGTGATAGAACTGGTTAAATACATTCCAAATATAATTTTAACACAGAGATCATTGCTACGGGAGATGTGTAACAAGCACGTGAAGAAACGGGAAGTGACGCCAAACATGACAAACACGAGTTGTCCTTCTATATAACTGACTGAAGTAACGAGCGATAACAGACAAACGATCGAATTTAATTTCACTGATAATTCCGTTGAAGTTGAAAAGTTATTATATGGGACGGTGAGAGGGTATCTCACAATTCAAAAATATAGGAAAAAGGCGTAATTCAACAAACAGTTTCCTCACAAATTTTAAGCCCTTTTCAGTCGAAAATCAGGCCAAAGTTTCATGGCTATAATAATCAAAACCGTTTTACAGATCACAAATGGAAGGCTACTGTTAACTCAGTCTCAGACTATTTTTTACATTTTACGTCATTCTACTTTTCAATATCATCCTCATATTTTATTTATCACCCAATAATACATTCTACAGTAGATATCGCTTGTGTGATATATTTCATAATCTACTGAAGGAGATATCGCTTTACATGAATTTGATTGGTCAGTTGTAAAGGAACTACTTTTTTTTATTTTCAAAGAACAGTTCATTTCTTATTAAAAGTAACTTTTTTTTTTATTAAAAATAAACTATTGTTATTCAGTTGACCTTGATGGAAACACTAGGTCAATATAAAGGACATTGAAATGGTTGAATTACTGTCAAAAAAATGATGTATCACTACGCCACAATGTTCAGTAAAAGTGAAATCTACAGCAAAGAATTATATTTATCTATTTGTGCATGTAAGAAGGGATTGGGTGATAAATAAAATCTCCTACTCGTCTTTTTTGATATCAAAAAATATCAACTTGTGTTGATATTTTTTGATATCAAAAAAGACTGGTAGGAGATTCTCTATACACCGTGTTTTTACCAATCTGATTAAAACACAGATCCTATTTCGTTTTGTTTTTATAGTTTAAAATTTCGTTTTTCTTGTCTTTACTACACTAGGATCTGGAAGAGGTGTTATATTACCGGCGTTTTGGTTGATGGGAGGGATAAGTCATAGGGTCAAAAGCCGCTCGTACGTCTCCCTGACACGAACTTTGAGTACAACTTGCCAGATCTTCATGTAGTGGAGACCATCAAAAGTATGAAAAAAAAACCGAAACGAAATATAGATCTGTATTTTAATCAGATTCTGTTGTTACCTGCCACGTTTTGTTTCATAGTAAAATCACCATAATTAAAAAGTATGTGGTACCAAAATCTCGTACCATGTTACATTTGTATAGAAGCAATAGAGACGAGCGTGGTATTTAGTCATTGCCAGGGTAATATAGCTTTAAAGTATATGGGGTAATATAACTTTAAAATATCTTGGGTAATATAGCTTTAAAGTATCTGGGATAATTAGGAGATAAACATGTTACTGTTTTTAATTTACTGGGGGTTTACATGTCGCCTAATGTCCATTTAGACAGAGGCTTTTCAAATAGGACATATTTTCTTAGCAATGCAAACTGCATTTGAATAAAGCAAACATCTGAGAATTCAGAGGCGGTATTTCGTAAATAGAACCAAAGATGATGAAATCAGAACTTATATCTAAATGAAATGTAATTCCAATAAAGTAGTAGTTTTGTGAATTATTCGGGTTGGAGGGATCCGGGACTATATCATGTATACAACCTTCTACCGGAAGCTGACGTCACTTTATTCTCGGCCGAAGACTTGTTTACTAAACGAAGAGCTATTTTCTTGACTTATAGTTGTAGAAGAGACAGATCAGCAATCCTGTGTTACAACAGCTTCACAAATAGACAACAGAAATTGCTAACAAAATAATGGTGAGGTGATTTTGTATTAAACAAAACAACACATAACGAAGATAGGTGAATTTAAAAATGAAATGAAATGGGGTTTAACGTCCTACTGTTCTGCTCCTATACTGGGCTAATGAAGACGGGCATACGCCATACAGTGTACTATGAGGGAAATTTTGCCCTGGCAGCGGCACTATGGCCTACTCTTATATCGAATTCCAACTGCCAAGGGATCTTTTACGAGGTGAATTTAAAATGGGGGTCATTTTCAACATTGAAAAAACAATGACGGACTCTAACCGCGTGGTAGCAAGGATGCGGAAATTGCAAACTACATGGAAAATGGAAAGCAACTCGGAAATCAAAAGACTCGACTACTGTACTACATAGTTCAGAGTATAAATAGAGAGATAATAGCTGTCCCCAACTTTTAGCATTTTGTCTGTAGGTGTAACCATGATTGGGCAGGCGACCCTACCCCTTGTCATGTATAACCGGGGAATCGAAACCACGCCAGTTGACTCAATGACAGACCGTATTGTAAATAATATATTCAGCCTTGTTGTTGGTGTCAAGACTAGTTTGAAACAACAATTTTCACTTTACCTTGCCCGTAATGAATAAAATCCAATGTTTGATTGGGCCATAGCAGTGGACACACTAGCGGAATCATTCGGCAGAGAAAATTTGTCCACTGTCATTCGGCCGAATGAAACATGTTTGATGTTATATCTTTTATATATTACAGGAAACTAATGATGTTATAACTGTTATATATTACAGGAAACTAATGATGTTATAACATTTCATCAGTGTGTTGTATGTGATGAGATTTTTCAACAACATGATGATTTAGAAAAACACAATAAGATGCTTGTTAAAGAAGAGAAAACTGATGATGTAGATGGATATTGTGATGTTAAAGAAGAGAAAACTGATGATGTAGATGAATATTGTCATGTTAAAGAAGAGAAAACAGATGATGTAGATGAATATTGTCATGTTAAAGAAGAGAAAACAGATGATGTAGATGGATATTGTCATGTTAAAGAAGAGAAAACTGATGATATAGATGAATATTGTCATGTTAAAGAAGAGAAAACTGAAGATATTGAAACTGTTTATCAGTGTAAATTGTGTGATGAAGAATTTAATTTAGAAACAGATTTAGAAAAACACTGTGAAATACATGTTAGTCAGCAAGGGCAAACTGGCGAAAAACCTTATAAATGTGATGTTTATAGTAAATCATTTCCACAGAGTAGTAGTCTACAGTCACACATAAGAATTCATATTGGAGAAAAACCTTATAAGTGTGATGTTTGTAGTAAATCATTTAGTAAGAGTAGGTGTCTGCTGAATCACAGGAGAAAGCATAGACCAGTAAAACCTTATAAATGTGATGTTTGTAGTAAATCATTTAGTAAGAAAATTATTCTACAGAAGCACAGAAGAACTCATCCTGTAGTAAAATCTTATAAATGTGATGTTTGTAGTAAATCATTTTCTAAAGGTTATAACTTAAAAAAGCACATCAGAATTCACACTGGTGAAAAACCATATAAATGTGATGTTTGTGATAAATCATTCACTCAGAGTAGTAATCGACAGAAACACATGAGAATTCATACAGGTGAAAAACCTTATAAATGTGATGTTTGTAATAAATCATTTATTGATAGTAGTCATCTACAGTCACACATGAGAATTCACACTGGTGTAAAATCTTTTAAATGTGATGTTTGTAGTAAATCATTTACTATGAGTGGTCATCTATATAGACATATTAGAACTCATACAGGTGAAAGACCTTATAAATGTGATGTTTGTAGTAAATCATTTACTATGAGTGGTCATCTATATAGACATATTAGAACTCACACAGGTGAAAAACCTTATAAATGTGATGTTTGTAGTAAATCATTTACTGAAAGTAGTCATCTTTATACACACATAAGAATTCATACTGGTGAAAAACCTTATAAATGTGATGTTTGTAGTAAATCATTTACCCAGTCTGGTCATTTACAGGACCACATCAGAATACATACAGGTGAAAAACCTTTTAATTGTGATGTTTGTAGTAAATCATTTTCCACTAGAAGTCAACTACAGGACCACATCAGAATACATACTGGTGAAAAACCTTATAAATGTAATGTTTGTAGTAAATCATTTGCTAGCCGTAATTCTTTACGAAAACACATGAGAACACATAAAAAACAACCCAGCAAAATATAAATGTTATTGGTAGCCATACCAGATTTTTCTCATGGCGCTACCACATGTAGTTTCGTTCTTATGCAAACTCTTCAGGATTCAGGTGGATCACGGGTGGCTAAGTAGGTAATACGCTGGCTCGCTAGCCTGGAGGTCAGTTGTTCGATCCCTGCATTGGCCGAGAAAGTTCATCCAGATTTTCCGGGGTGTTTCTCCTTGTCAGTGATGCAGGACAGAGGGCCTGACAAGGACAGCTGTCTAATCGTTTGGAGAGGACGGAAAACCGAGGTCCCGTGTACACATTGGCATGCACGTAAAAGATCCCTTGACAGTTGGAATTCGATATAAGAGCACACTGTATGGTGTATACCCGTCTTTATTAGCCCAGTTTGGTGTAGAACGTTTAACCCCAATTAATTTCTTCAGGCTGTTGGGGACCAAAGCAATTCTGTTTCATTCAGAGTTGTTGTAATTGTGTATGACCAGAAAGTTGGCTAAAGAATTTATGTAATAAAAATGCTTATTTATGTAGAGATGTTATAGATCAAGACAATAATACATTCACATATAAAAATAGATAACAATGAACATACTTGATCAAATATATAAATAAAAATTGTGATTTAGATAAAATTACATGTGATTAGAAATTTAAATAAATCTTGATAATCTTTATGAAAGTTGTTTTTTAGGCCCAAAAAAATGATGTTCTGTTTCTGGTAACCCAACCGACCCATTACAAAACCTGCAGACTCAATTTTTTTTTTAGTGTCAAGAGAAATAAAAAAAACTTTTTTGTTCAACAAACGACCATTCAGAATACGCTTAGCCTACCATATTCGTGAAAATGCCTATATTATTTGTTGCTGTAAATGAATATAAATGTCATCGTTCTTTGAATCGGTATTTACCGATCGGAATAAGCGAGTACTGTACAGCGATTTATTATTAAGAACTGCCATACTGTTGACGCGAGATTGCTAACTGACGTGAAAATCGAGACTACAGGTTTCGTATAGATTTACCACTGCTCATTTCTAAAAGTTATAATCCTCACAGCGGTCTTTCTAATAAGTAACGGCATGCAAATTGGACAAAAACAAGTTAACGTATATTTCAAACAGGTGAATAGGATCTGCTTTGGTATTTAAAACAAGACAAATAAATTTATTACAGACCTATTTCGTGCGACGGCACGATATGATTTTTTTAAGTTTTCATTGCGAGTTCCTTCCCTACGCTTTTTTTTTTCTTTTTTAGCACAGAACGATTAAAATGTCCATTTGCCACCTAAGAGAATATTTAAATCATAATCTCGCCTCTGATACATTTTAAACAATTATCCAAGAATTCCATCCACCAATCTACCATGTTCCTCGGCACCAACTCAACCTAACATAAAATTGAAGATTTTCGCACAGAATATTATGCTACGGTACATCTACTAGATCTAAAAATGTAACATTACAAAAAAAAGAAAAAAAAACCCCTACCTACCGACCCTACCCTATTTTCCATCTGTTTGGGAAGGGGGGGCCTTAGATAAAATTACATGTGATTAGAAATTAAAATAGCTCTGGGTAGTCTTTAAAAAGTCTTTTTTAAATAGATTTGTCTTTAGTTTTTAAAATATCAATTGCAGTGACATTATGAATGGGGATCACGTGGGTAAGACGCTGGCTCGCTAGCCTGGAGTTCGGGTGTTTGATCCCTGCATTGGCCGAGAAAGTTCATCCCGATTTTCCGGCGTGGTTCTCCCTTGTCAGTGATGCAGGACGGAGGGGCTGACAAGGAAAGCTGTCTAGTCGTTCAGATGGGACGGAAAACCAAGGCCCCATGTACTTATTGGCGTACACATAAAAGATCCCTTGGCAGTTGGAATTCGATATAAGAGTAGGCCGTAGTGCCGCTGTCCGGGCAAAATTTACCTCATAGCACACTGTATGGTGTATGCCCGTCTTCATTAGCCCAGTTCAGAGCAAAACAGTAGGACGTTAAACCCCATTTCATTTCAGGGGGTCACAATTTCCATCCGATTTTGTTGAAACTTGAAAAGTGTGTTTATAACCCAAAGTTCTTGGTTCCTTTTGATATTCATGCATATCGGATTATAACCTTCTGAATTATGGTCCCTGATTGTACGACAAGTTGTGTTTTTAGCTTGTGGTTCAACTAGAGGTCACAATTATTATCCAATTTATAGAAGACTTTCGAATATATCACCATTACACCGAGTTCGAATTTTGTGAAAATTGGACCAAAACTGTTGGACAAAATGGCTGCCCCTCGTACAGCTGTCCTTGTCAGGTCCTCCATCCTGCATCACTGACAAGGGGAAACCACGCCGGAAAATCTGAATTAACTTTCTCGGCCAATGCAGGAAACTGTGGGTAATCCACCAGAAACGCCAACGCTGATTGATTAATCAATGCCTACATCATATGTCAAAATCCATGTGTACGACCCCTGACACAACCTTTGAGTACAACTTGTCAGATGTTCATGTAGTGTAGGTCATCGAAAGTATAAAAAAAACGAAATATAGATCTGTATTTTAATCAGATTGTGTTTTTACCTGCCATGTTTTGTTTCATATCTACGTGAGGCCTTTTTAAATGGGTTACGATATCTTTTACACCTTTACACGGTATCTAAATGCTTGAATTAAATATGGTCTATAAATAGTATAAAAACATCGAAATTAATTAAATAGTTAATTTAATTTGCAAAATTAGCTTTTAATAAGGTAGAATCACTATAATTAAAAAGTATTGGTCGAATGGTTAGCACGTGCGCGCCTGTCATTGAGTCCTTCAGTTTCCTCCCACTGCTAAAGACATCCACGCGCAAACAAATTATTGAATTAAAATTTTAAAAAAACATGTTAGTCTCGAAATGACCTAGTTTGTGTCAGTGGACTTAAACCCCATTTCTCTCTCTCTCTCTCTCTCTCTCTCTCTCTCTCACTATGTTACATTTGTATAGAAGCAATAGGGATGAGGGTGGTATTTTGGAGCTGGTATTTATGCACTGCCAGGGTTATATAGTTTTAAAGTATCTAAGGTAATGTAGCTATAAAGTATCTAAGGTAATATAGCTTTAAAGTGGTAATATAGCTTTAAAGTATCTAGGGTAATATATCTTTAAAGTGGCTGGGATAATTAGGACATAAACATGTTACTGTTTTGAATTTATCGGGTGGTTTACATGTCGCCTAATGTCCATTTAGACAGGATTTTCAAATAGAACATATTTTCTTAGCAAAAGAAATTGCATTTGAATAAAGCAAACATCCGAGAATCCAGAGGCGATATTTCGAAAAAAGAACCAAAGATGATGAAATCAGAACTTATATCTAAATGAAATGTACATGTAGTTCCAATGGAGTAGTGGCTTTGTGAATTATTCGGGTTGGAGAGATCCGGGACTCTATCATGTATACAACCTACTACCGGAAGCTGACGTCACTTTTATTCTGGGCCGAAGACTAGTTTACCGAATGAATGCCTATTTTCTTGACTTGTAGTTGTATTTTGTACTTCACCGAAGACTTGTTACTGAATGATTAGCTATTTTCTTGAGTTGCAGTTGTAGAAGAGACAGAACAGCTTCACAAAAAGACAACAGAAATTGTTAACAAAATGACGGTGAGGTGATTTTGTATTAAACAAAACAACGCATAATGAAGATAGGTGAATCTGAAATGGAGGTTCCTCTCAAAAAATCATTCACAACAGCCTTGGTGCTTGTATTTTGGTATCTAAATGTGCTTGAGATGAAATGGATGAAAATAAATAAAAAAAATAATGACTTTGGAATTTGTAACTTATACCATTCAGCACTGTGCAACTACAGGGTCAACAACAAAACATGGGAATTCACAAAGTCTCACAGATATACTAGAATATCCCCCTTTTTTTCAAGGAACTACTTTTAGATTTTTTGTATGGAGTACCATCATAAAGTACCATTGGTTTTCAGCTATTTTTATAGGACTAATGAACACACATTGTTTATATTTTTATGACTTCTTAATTCACCCTTTGAAACTTTGTGTCTGGAAGCATAAAGATGCACTTACAATAAAACATTGAACGTAGATTTTAGATTAAAATATTTTGTTATAAATTTTATTCAATATTTATTTATCCACACTCATCACAGTGTTTAATCTTTGTTAAATTGTACAATAATAAACCATGACTGAATGTACACTAATGTCCAGCTGAATGTTTGATTGGAACGTATGACAGCTGAATGTTTGATTGTTTTGCAAATGGTACTCCATAGAAATCAATTTGCCATGCAAGAATTATATTTCGGGTATTTAGGTAATAAATTCTATACCAAGCCCTCAAACTGCTTATTATTCTAACATGGTTAGCGTGCGCACGCTGTATCATAAAGTCTATCATTGAGTCGACTGGCGTGGTTTTGAATCCCCGGTTGTACGTGACAAGGAGTAGGGTTGCCTGTCCGACCTCGTGGGTTTTCTCCGGGTCCTCCGGTTTCCTCCCACTGCTAAAGACCCCTACACGAATTATTGAAATAAAATTAAACCATATGTTAGTCCCGAAATGACCTAGTTTGTGTCGAGTGGCTTCTCTCTCTCTCTCTCTCTCTATTCTAACATAAATAAATAATAATCTATCCAAAATTTAGAAACAAGTCTTTTTGTTAACATTTACCAACACTTAACAAGATTTTGACAGTTCTCTTTTCATCAATTTATACAACGCTCCATATGACATTAAAAGATGTGACAGTTCTTGCAAATGATGGTCAATAGTCTATAATATTATGATTTAACACCTGATGTAAGGATAATTGTCATAGAATAAGCCAAAAAGTATTTACTACATCTTTATTTACCATTCTGTGTTGAATTACCGCTCAACGAAAGTGCTGATTAAGACAATAAGTTCAGAAATAATTTATGTTTTAATATTATCAAGTCAGCTACATCCCACCTTATTTGTATTCAGATATGAATTAATCTTATTCCGCAGTTTTTTAAATTAGAAATTTAAAACTTTTTAATTAAAATTAACACTTAGACATTCAGAGACAAAGACAAAGCATTCATAATATTAACGTTTATAAAACGATTCAAAGTGAATTTATTACTAAACAGAATACAGCATAATTGTGTGTATTGTGGTGTAAATAAAACATTTACATAATGTTCAGGTAGACGTTGTCAGTTTAACAATTATTATATTCCCTTCGCTCGTCTAAAGATACGAAGGGTCACAATACGTGGAAACAGAAAAGCAACGCGAAAATCAAGACGCGACGACTGTACTACATAGATCAGGGTATCAATAGAGAGATAATAGCTGTCCTCAACTTACAGGATACCAACGATGTTATAACTTTTATATATTACAGGATACCAACGATGTTATAACTTTTATACATTACAGGAAACTAATGATGTTATAACTTTTATATATTACAGGAAACTAATGATGTTGTAACATTTATATATTACAGGAAACTAATGATGTTATAACATTTCATCAGTGTGTTGTATGTGATGAGATTTTTAAACAATATGATGATTTAGAAAAACACAATAAGATGCATGTTAAAGAAGAGAAAACTGATGATGTAGATGAATATTATCACATTAAAGAAGAGAAAATTGATGATGTAGATCGATATTGTCATGTTAAAGAAGAGAAAACTGATGATGTAGATGAATATTGTCATGTTAAAGAAGAGAAAACTGATGATATTGAAACTGTTTATCAGTGTAATTTGTGTGATGAAGAATTTAATTTAGAAACAGATTTAGAAAAACACTGTGAAATACATGTTAGTCGTCAGCAAGGGCAAACAGGAGAAAAACCTTATAGATGTGATGTTTATAGTAAATCATTTCCACAGTCACACATAAGAATTCATATTGGAGAAAAACCTTATAAATGTGATGTTTGTAGTAAATCATTTAGTAAGAGTGGATGTCTGCTGAATCACAGGAGAAAGCATACACCAGTAAAACCTTATAAATGTGGTGTTTGTAGTAAATCATTTAGTAAGAAAATTATTCTACAGAAGCACAGAAGAACTCATCCTGTAGTAAAATCTTATAAATGTGATGTTTGTAGTAAATCATTTTCTAAAGGTTATAACTTAAAAAAGCACATCAGAATTCACACTGGTGAAAAACCATATAAATGTGATGTTTGTGATAAATCATTCACTCAGAGTAGTAATCGACAGAAACACATGAGAATTCATACAGGTGAAAAACCTTATAAATGTGATGTTTGTAATAAATCATTTATTGATAGTAGTCATCTACAGTCACACATGAGAATTCATACTGGTGAAAAATCTTTTAAATGTGATGTTTGTAGTAAATCATTTACTATGAGTGGTCATCTATATAGACATATTAGAACTCATACAGGTGAAAGACCTTATAAATGTGATGTTTGTAGTAAATCATTTACTGAAAGTAGTCATCTTTATACACACATGAGAATTCATACTGGTGAAAAACCTTTTAAATGTGATGTTTGTAGTAAATCATTTACTCAGTCTGGTCATTTACAGGACCACATCAGAATACATACAGGTGAAAAACCTTTTAATTGTGATGTTTGTAGTAAATCATTTTCCACTAGAAGTCAACTACAGGACCACATCAGAATACATACTGGTGAAAAACCTTATAAATGTAATGTTTGTAGTAAATCATTTGCTAGCCGTAATTCTTTACGAAAACACATGAGAACTCATACTAGATAAAAAAACAACCCAGCAAAATATAAATGTGATTGGTAGCCATACCAGATTTTTCTCATGCAGCTACCACATGTAGTTTCGTTCTTATGCAAACTCTTCAGGATTCAGGTGGATCACGGGTGGCCAAGTGGGTAATACGCTGGCTCACTAGCTTTGAGGTCGGTTGTTCGATCCCTGCATTGGCCGAGAAAGTTCATCCAGATTTTCCGGGGTGTTTCTCCTTGTCAGTGATGCAGGACAGAGGGCCTGACAAGGACAGCTGTCTAATCGTTTGGAGAGGACGGAAAACCGAGGTCCCGTGTACACATTGGCATGCACGTAAAAGATCCCTTGACAGTTGGAATTCGATATAAGAGCACACTGTATGGTGTATACCCGTCTTTATTAGCCCAGTTTGGTGTAGAACGTTTAACCCCAATTAATTTCTACAGGCTGTTGGGGACCAAAGCAATTCTGTTTCATTCAGAGTTGTTGTAATTGTGTATGACCAGAAAGTTGGCTAAAGAATTTATGTAATAAAAATGCTTATTTATGTAGAGATGTTATAGATCAAGACAATAATACATTCACATATAAAAATAGATAACAATGAACATACTTGATCAAATATATAAATAAAAATTGTGATTTAGATAAAATTACATGTGATTAGAAATTTAAATAAATCTTGATAATCTTTATGAAAGTTGTTTTTTAGGCCAAAAAAAATGATGTTCTGTTTCTGGTAACCCAACCGACCCATTACAAAACCTGCAGACTCAATTTTTTTTTTAGTGTCAAGAGAAATAAAAAAAACTTTTTTGTTCAACAAACGACCATTCAGAATACGCTTAGCCTACCATATTCGTGAAAATGCCTATATTATTTGTTGCTGTAAATGAATATAAATGTCATCGTTCTTTGAATCGGTATTTACCGATCGGAATAAGCGAGTACTGTACAGCGATTTATTATTAAGAACTGCCATACTGTTGACGCGAGATTGCTAACTGACGTGAAAATCGAGACTACAGGTTTCGTATAGATTTACCACTGCTCATTTCTAAAAGTTATAATCCTCACAGCGGTCTTTCTAATAAGTAACGGCATGCAAATTGGACAAAAACAAGTTAACGTATATTTCAAACAGGTGAATAGGATCTGCTTTGGTATTTAAAACAAGACAAATAAATTTATTACAGACCTATTTCGTGCGACGGCACGATATGATTTTTTTAAGTTTTCATTGCGAGTTCCTTCCCTACGCTTTTTTTTTCTTTTTTAGCACAGAACGATTAAAATGTCCATTTGCCACCTAAGAGAATATTTAAATCATAATCTCGCCTCTGATACATTTTAAACAATTATCCAAGAATTCCATCCACCAATCTACCATGTTCCTCGGCACCAACTCAACCTAACATAAAATTGAAGATTTTCGCACAGAATATTATGCTACGGTACATCTACTAGATCTAAAAATGTAACATTACAAAAAAAAGAAAAAAAAAACCCTACCTACCGAACCTACCCTATTTTCCATCTGTTTGGGAAGGGGGGGGCCTTAGATAAAATTACATGTGATTAGAAATTAAAATAGCTCTGGGTAGTCTTTAAAAAGTCTTTTTTAAATAGATTTGTCTTTAGTTTTTAAAATATCAATTGCAGTGACATTATGAATGGGGATCACGTGGGTAAGACGCTGGCTCGCTAGCCTGGAGTTCGGGTGTTTGATCCCTGCATTGGCCGAGAAAGTTCATCCAGATTTTCCGGCGTGGTTCTCCCTTGTCAGTGATGCAGGACGGAGGGGCTGACAATAAAAGCTGTCTTGTCGTTCGTATGGGACGGAAAACCGAGGCCCCATGTACTTAGTGGTGCGCACACAAAAGGTCCCTTATTAGTTGGAATTCGATATAAGAGTAGGCCGTAGTGCCGCTGTCCGGGCAAAATTTACCTCATAGTACACTGTATGGCGTATGCCCGTCTTCATTAACCCAGTTCGGAGCAAAACAGTAGGACGTTTAACCCCATTTCATTTCATTTCATTTGACATTATGAATTTGAATTGTTAATTTATTCAATAACAATGGTTCCTGTATATAGAATAACAGGTTACAATATGATGATAAATAGTGGAAGGCCTGTATATAGAATGACAGGTTACCATATGATGATAAATTGTAAGGGCGTTTATACAATATTCTATATTCTATTCTGTATGCTGTTGGTATAATGTTCGTTTTCACGCGTATTTGACCGTAAATTCATGGATTATGGCCCCTGATTGTTCGAAAGATCATGTTTTTAGCTTGTGGACACTGTAGGGGTCTCAATTTCCATCCGATTCTGTTGAAACTTGAAAAGTGTGTTTATAACCCAAAGTTCTTGGTTCCTTTTGATGTTCGGGCATATCGGATTGTAACCTCCTGAACTTGTAACCCTGGACCAAAACTGTTGGACAAAATGGCTGCCCCTCGTACAGCTGTCCTTGTCAGGCCCTCCATCCTGCATCACTGACAAGGGGAAACCACGCCGGAAAATCTGAATGATCTTTCTCGGCCAATGCAGGAAACTGTGGGTAATCCACCAGAAATGCCAACGCTGATTGATTAATCAATGCCTATATCATATGTCAAAATCCGCATATACGACCCCTGACACAACCTTCGAGTACAACTTGTCAGATGTTCGTGTAGTGTAGGTCATCGAAAGTATAAAAAAAAAACGAAATATAAATCTGTATTTTAATCAGATTGTGTTTTTACCTGCCATGTTTTGTTTCATATCTACGTGAGGCCTTTTTAAATGGGTTACGATATCTTTTACACTTTTACACGGTATCTAAATGCTTGAATTAAATATGGTCTATAAATAGTATAAAAACATCGAAATTAATTAAATAGTTAATTTAATTTGAAAAATTAGCTTTCAATAAGGTAGAATCACCATAATTAAAAAGTATGCGGTACCAAAATTTTGTATTAGGTGGGGGGTGGATGGCCGAATGGTAAGCCCGTGCGCGCTGTATCATGAAGCCTGTCATTGAGTCAACTGGCCTGGTTTTGAATCTCCGGTTGTACTGACAAGGAGTAGGGTTGCCTGTCCAACCTCGTGGGTTTTCTCCGGGTCCTCCGGTTTCCTTCCATTGCCAAAGACCCCTACGCGCAAACGAATTATTGAATTAAAATTTTTAAAAAACATATGTTAGTCCCGAAATGACCTAGTTTATTTCAAGTGGACTTAAACCCCATCTCTCTCTCTCTCTCACTATGTTACATTTGTATAGAAGCAATAGGGATGAGGGTGGTATTTTGGAGCTGGTATTTATCCACTGCCAGGGTTATATAGCTTTAAAGTATCTATGGTAATGTAGCTATAAAGTATCTAAGGTAATATAGCTTTAAAGTGGTAATATAGCTTTAAAGTATCTAGGGTAATATATCTTTAAAGTGGCTGGGATAATTAGGACATAAACATGTTACTTTTTTGAATTTATCGGGTGGTTTACATGTCGCCTAATGCCCATTTAGACAGGATTTTCAAATAGAACATATTTTCTTAGCAAAAGAAATTGCATTTGAATAAAGCAAACATCCGAGAATCCAGAGGCGATATTTCGAAAAAAGAACCAAAGATGATGAAATCAGAACTTATATCTAAATGAAATGTACATGTAGTTCCAATGAAGTAGTGGTTTTGTGAATTATTCGGGTTGGAGAGATCCGGGACTCTATCATGTATACAACCTACTACCGGAAGCTGACGTCACTTTTATTCTCGGTCGAAGACTGGTTTACCGAATGAATGCCTATTTTCTTGACTTGTAGTTGTATTTTGTACTTCACCGAAGACTTGTTACTGAATGATTAGCTATTTTCTTGAGTTGCAGTTGTAGAAGAGACAGAACAGCTTCACAAAAAGACAACAGAAATTGTTAACAAAATGACGGTGAGGTGATTTTGTATTAAACAAAACAACGCATAATGAAGATAGGTGAATCTGAAATGGAGGTTCCTCTCAAAAAATCATTCACAACAGCCATGGTGCTTGTATTTTGATATCTAAATGTGCTTGAGATGAAATGGATGAAAATAAATAAAAAAAATAATGACTTTGGAATTTGTAACTTATACCATTCAGCACTGTGCAACTACAGGGTCAACAACAAAACATGGGAATTCACAAAGTCTCACAGATATACTAGAATATCCCCCTTTTTTTCAAGGAACTACTTTTAGATTTTTTGTATGGAGTACCATCATAAAGTACCATTGGTTTTCAGCTATTTTTATAAGACTAATGAACACACATTGTTTATATTTTTATGACTTCTTAATTCACCCTTTGAAACTTTGTGTCTGGAAGCATAAAGATGCACTTACAATAAAACATTGAACGTAGATTTTAGATTAAAATATTTTGTTATAAATTTTATTCAATATTTATTTATCCACACTCATCACAGTGTTTGATCTTTGTTAAATTGTACAATAATAAACCATGACTGAATGTACACTAATAGTTCAATGTTGGAAATGTCCAGTTGAATGTTTGATTGGAACGTATGACAGCTGAATGTTTGATTGTGTTGCAAATGGTACTCCATAGAAATCAATTTGCCATGCAAGAATTATATTTAGGGTATTTAGGTAATAAATTCTATACCAAACCCTCAAACTGCTTATTATTCTAACATGGTTAGCGTGCGCACGCTGTATCATAAAGTCTGTCATTGAGTCGACTGGCATGGTTTCGAATCCCCGGTTGTACGTGACAAGGAGTAGGGTCGCCTGTCCGACCTCGTGGGTCTTCTCCGGGTCCTCCGGTTTCCTCCCACTGCTAAAGGCCCCTACGCGCAAGCGAATTATTGAAATAAAATTAAACCATATGTTAGTCCCGAAATGACCTAGTTTGTGTCGAGTGGCCGTTAAACCCCATTTCTCTCTCTTTCTCTCTCTATTCTAACATAAATAAATAATAATCTATCCAAAATTTAGAAACAAGTCTTTTTGTTAACATTTACCAACACGTAACAAGATTTTGACAGTTCTCTTTTCATCAATTTATACAACGCTCCATATGACATTAAAAGATGTGACAATTGTTGCAAATGATGGTCAGTAGTCTATAATATTATGATTTAACACCTGATGTAAGGATAATTGTCATAGTATAAGCCAAAAAGTATTTACTACATCTTTATTTACCATTCTGTGTTGAATTACCGCTCAACGAAAGTGCTGATTACGACAATAAATTCATGAATAATTTATGTTTAAATATTATCAAGTCAGTTATATCACACCTTATTTGTATTCAGATATGAATTAATCTCATTCCGCAGTTATTTAAATTAGAAATTTAAAAATTTTTAATTAAAATTAACACTTAGACATTCGGAGACAAAGACAAAGCGTTCATAATATTAACGTTTATAAAACGATTCAAAGTGATTTATTACTAAACAGAATACAGCATAATTGTGTGTATTGTGGTGTAAATAAAACATTTACTTAATGTTCAGGTAGACGTTGTCAGTTTAACAATTATTATATTCCCATCGCTCGTCTAAAGATACGAAGGGTCACAATACGTGGAAACAGAAAAGCAACGCGAAAATCAAGACGCGACGACTGTACTACATAGATCAGGGTATCAATAGAGAGATAATAGCTGTCCTCAACTTACAGGATACCAACGATGTTATAACTTTTATATATTACAGGATACCAACGATGTTATAACTTTTATACATTACAGGAAACTAATGATGTTATAACTTTTATATATTACAGGAAACTAATGATGTTGTAACATTTATATATTACAGGAAACTAATGATGTTATAACATTTCATCAATGTGTTGTATGTGATGAGATTTTTAAACAATATGATGATTTAGAAAAACACAATAAGATGCATGTTAAAGAAGAGAAAACTGATGATGTAGATGAATATTGTCATGTTAAAGAAGAGAAAATTGATGATGTAGATCGATATTGTCATGTTAAAGAAGAGAAAACTGATGATGTAGATGAATATTGTCATGTTAAAGAAGAGAAAACTGATGATATTGAAACTGTTTATCAGTGTAATTTGTGTGATGAAGAATTTAATTTAGAAACAGATTTAGAAAAACACTGTGAAATACATGTTAGTCAGCAAGGTCAAACTGGCGAAAAACCTTATAAATGTGATGTTTATAGTAAATCATTTCCACAGTCACACATAAGAATTCATATTGGAGAAAAACCTTATAAATGTGATGTTTGTAGTAAATCATTTAGTAAGAGTGGATGTCTGCTGAATCACAGGAGAACGCATAGACCAGTAAAACCATTTAAATGTGATTTTTGTAGTAAATCATTTAATAAGAAAAGTATTCTACAGAATCACAGGAGAACTCATCCTGAAGTAAAACTTTTTAAATGTGATTTTTGTAGTAAATCATTTACTAGAGGTTATAACTTAGAAAAACACATAAGAATTCACACTGGTGAAAAACCTTATAAATGTGATGTTTGTGGTAAATCATTTACACAGAGTAATAATCATCAGAAACACATGAGAATTCATGCTGGTGAAAAACCTTATAAATGTGATGTTTGTGGTAAATCATTTACCGCTAGTAGTCATTTACAGTACCACATCAGAACACATACAGGTGAAAAACCATATAAATGTGATGTTTGTAGTAAATCATTTACTACTGGTAGTCATCTACAGACACACATCAGAATTCATACTGGTGAAAAACCTTATAAATGTGATGTTTGTGGTAAATCATTTAATCAGACTGGTCATTTACAGATACACATGAGAAATCATACAGGTGAAAAACCTTATAAATGTTATGTTTGTAATAAATCATTTACTACTAGTAGTTATCTACATGTACACACTAGAGCTCATACAGGTGAAAGACCTTATAAATGTGATGTTTGTAGTAAATCGTTTATTCACGGTAAATCTCTACGAAAACACACGAGAACTCATACTAGATAAAATAAACCAACAAATGATAAATGTGATTGGTAGTCATGAAGCTACCACATGTAGTTTCGTTCTTATGCAAACTCTTCAGGCTTTAGTGAGATTGTGGAGCTGTTCCTTATATATAGTTGTCGGGGACCGGAGCACAGAAGTAGTCTCGATTGGACCAGAGCAATTCTGTTTCACCAGAGTTGTTGTAATTGTGTATGACCAGAAAGTTGGCTAAAGAATTTCTGTAATAAAAATGCTTATTTGTATAGAGATGTTATAGATCAAGACAATATAACATTTACATAATAAAAATAGATAACAAAGAGCATATTTGATAAAATATATAAATAAAAATTATGATTTAGCTTATTTACCATATTTAGAAATTAAAATAGCTCTGGATAATCTATATAAAAGTTGTTATTTAGATAAAATTACATGTAATTAGAAATTAAAATTGTTTTTGATAATCTATGTAAAAGGATCACTGTGTCTTTAGTTTTAAAGTAGCAATAGCAGCGACGTTACGAATTCAAATTGGTAATTTATTCCAATAATAAAAATGGTTGGAGTACCCAAGTTTAGATATGTCGTTGATTCCATAAAGTAGTTGGGTTTTTAAACGTTAAATATTGTGTAATTCAACATGGCGCCCAAGGGGGTTAATACCAAATAGTTTGTTTATATGAGAGTCAAGGTTTGGTCTGTGCCTTGGATATCGGAAGTGGGGGGGCGACTGGTATGTGTCATTGTCTGTTGTATTAACTGGACGGATAGACCTGTCATTCTTTGGTTATGTGTCTTTGTTGAATGAGTGGCTTCTCATCAACCAGATCAGCTCTGGACCGATTTGATTCTATGGTATCTCTCATAGCTGAGAGAATAAAGATTTATTAGCCGAGAGAATATCTTCCGTCAAAGTAGTGGTTGATTCTGCGACAAGAAGGGGTATCGCAACCGACTGATTTGATCAACAAAATTAGCCATAACAAGATCATAAGCAGAAAGTGAGATAATATAAGAGATAAGGTGGCTATGAAGATCTGGTTATCCCTGGTGTTAGTGACTAGTTTCATTTATATTGAACTCTTCAGAGTGATTGTACGAACAAAACTAGTCATGAACACTTGGGATAACCAAGATAACGTTAACTGTTAGTTGAAATTGTCACCACTGGAAACTGGTGATGAAAGGCCTGCCAAGTGAGCATTCCATTGCCATTGAGAATGTTACTTGATAATCGAGAAAATTTGGGTAGAGTTATCGTCTGTCAAGCAAACGATAGACAATTCTTGTAGACGGTGCAGACACAGTTGATGCCTATTTCTAGTCCAAACTTTCAACAGTGACAACTCCGTTCAGAACAAAGTAATTTGACTGAAATTTTCAATATTTTCTTTTATCATCTATTTTTGATTTATTTTAGCAAAAATGGCCAACTTTTTTATTAAACTCTTAACTAACGAATCTTTAAAGTACAACGGAAGTGGGTAAAATGTGGTATAATAGATATATAGGCGGATATTACAGTATCGTGTTAGCATGATACAAGAGAACAATAGGTGGATATTACAGTTATATCGTGGTATAGCATATACAGTTGTATAGCATACAATGGCTGAGATAGCAGTACCACGTTTCATAGGTAAACGTACTGATATAAAACAATATATGGATTACAACAATAGGACGATACATAAAGCTATTTCACACACACACACAACAAACTAGCGGGTTAAAATGGTTTAAGCTACTGTTAAAAAAAGCTATTTCACACACACACAACAAACTCAAAGTTGAAATGGTTTAAAGATACATTATGGAAGATTCGATAACGAGTTGACAGTTCGCATTATAATAGTTAAAAACTAGATAACATCAAGGCAATTTGCTGAAAAATTCATTCAAATTGATCCAGTATGAACCCAGAACTAAGCGAATGAAATTTCCGCCTAGCCTCGTTCATCATTACTAAAGTCTGTACGATAAACAGCATATTCTCGATTATCCATTTAATCTTTAAATCGTGAAGGAAAGTTATGCAGTAAATCGGCTCATAATCCACTAAAGATCGCAGGCTAGCGATGCCATCGAGAGTTGATTATGGTCTGGATATGTTAATTAATGTCTAATTAATAATTTAGATAACATTTCAGGCCTAAAGAAAGACCTGCAATAGACAGATTTAGCTCTTGCATAATATATGTTTAAGCTACCATTATACGAAAAAGGTGAAATTCAACAACCAGTTTCCTACCGAATTTTAAGCCCTTTTTCAGTTGAAAATCATGTCAAAGTTTCATGGCCATAATAGGATCAAAACCATTTTACAGAACACAAATGTTGGGCTACTGTTATCTTGGGGGGGTTCGGTGGCCGAATGGTTAGCACGTGCGCGCTGTCATAAGGCCCGTCATTGAGTCAACTGGCGTGGATTTGAATCCTCGGTTGTACGTGACAAGGAGTAGGGTTGGCTGTCAAACCTCGTGGGTTTTCTCCGGTTTTATCCCACTGCTAAAAACCCCAACGCACAAGCGAATAATTCAAATAAAATTAAAACCATATGTTAATCCCGAAATGACCTAGTGTGTGTCGAGTGGACGTTAAACCCCATTTCTCTCTCTTTCACTGTTATCTTGGTCCCGATTTCTTTTATACCACATTTTTTTTTTTTTACATATCAACTCATTGTACTTTCGTATCATCCTCATATTTTATTATACCACGTTTTTACCTGCCACGTTTTATTTCACATCTACCAACTATTCCAATATACCACGTAGGGTCTTTTTTAAATGGGTTATAATAACTTTTACACCGTATCTAAATGGCGATTATTTGAACCCACCGATTAACTCCTTGAATTAAATATGGTCTATAAATAGTATAAAAACATCGAAATTAATTAAATACTTAATTTAATTTGCAAAATTAGCTTTTAATAAGGTAGAATCACTATAATTAAAAAGTATGTGGTACCAAAATCTCATACCACGTTACATTTGTATAGAAGCAATAGGGACGAGCGTGGTAATTACCCACTCACAGGGTAATATAGCTTTAAAGTATCTTGGGTAATATAGCTTTAAAGCGAGAATTTCATATTTTCTAAGAAAGTCAAAACATAATTATTTCTATGTCTTTTGCTCAATAGGTTGTCAACTCACTATTATACGATCATAGTTATCATTCTCACATTCAAAAATAATAACACAATTACCTCCTAATTACCTCCCTTGTTTTTCTATTCCCTACCATGGAATAGCTATCTTCAAACGTTTGAATCTGAAGTTAATTATATTTTTGCCAATTTTCAACTGGCAATAGTGAGTTATAGGATTAATAGGATTATTCTTTAACAAGGTAGGACTGTTGATACATAGCATCGATTTTAAGGCTTTATTTTAATACATTTTAAAAATATAACTTAAAAATATTAATTTTTTTCTTTAAAGTATCTGGGGTAATATATTTTTAAAGTATCTATGGTAATACACTGTTAGAAAAAATCTGGTAAATTTACATGAAAATTACTGGCAGCAAAAGTTGCCAGTAAATTTACTGTAAATAAACATTCAGCTGTAATATTACAGAGTTTCTGTAATTTGACTTTGTGAGTAAATTTACCTTAAAACAGTAAATGTTTTTTAACTGTAAATTCACCGCAACACAGTAAATGAACGGTTACAGTAAGTTTGTTTTTAAACTTCCCAATGTAAATTTACCTAAAAGCAGTAAATGAAAAATTACAGACAAATGTTAAAAAAAACCACAATGATTTTAACTTCCGTTCCAGGATTTTAGATGTAAGCTTGTGGTACTGTCTACTGCAGGCATTGTAACTCTGCTCTAGAGACAGTCAAACTAACACTGGCCAATCGGTTTAATTAACCGTCTTCTATTGACCTTGGTTACGAGATAATACAATCTATGACAAGAAAGTCAAAACATTTTTTTTATACGTTAATGAACATACTTACAATCTGATCAACGTACGATGAATAATAATACACGTTTTAGATCGTATAAATAAAGAAAATTAAATATATATAACATGCAATATACCAAATTTCACAAAATGTGATTGTCCATATTATGGTTAATAAATTAGAATGAATACTATAAGAAAATAATTATTAGGAATGGTTCGTTGCTATGGAATACTAAAATAAAATAAGAGACAGTAAATTTACATAAGAGACAGTAAATTTACCAATAAGTAAATTTACAAAATAATGTGAATAAACGTAAATCTGTAAAATTACCTACTGGCTTTGCTATTTTCATTTCAATATTGAAATATTACGCATGTATTTTTACCAGGGTTTAATGTGCCTTTGGTTTCATCAAAGTTTATTGTAAAAAAGAATGAAACTTGGTAAATATACATCATTTTGGTAAACATTCCGAACATTTTTGGTAAAAATTTAATTGCTGTAAATTTACTTATATTTCTAACCTGAAAGTTTACAAAATAATGTGAGTAAACGTAAAATCTCTAAAATTGCTTGCTAAGAGACAATAAATTTACCGAATACGATAACTACCAATAAGTTAAACATACATTATGCAAGAGCTAAATCTGCCTATTGCAGGTCTTTCTTTAGGCCTGATATGTTCTATAAACTATGAATTAGACATTTATTAACATGAAAAGACCATAATCAACTCATGGATGCCATCTTATGTGTTGGATTTTCACTGGATTTGAGTCCGATCTGGGGCTCAACGCTCATTAATGATTAAATTCAAAAATAGATAATCAAGACTATGTTTTTTTTTTATCGTACTGACTTAATAAGTAATAATGATCGAGGCTAGGCCTAACATTCAGTCTCTAATATCTCGGTTCCGAGTGGATCAATTTGACAGAAATTTCGAGCATATTGCCTTTACATTATCTAGTTTTTAACTATTATAGTGAGAACTGCTGTAATTTTATTTATATTTCTAACCTAAAAGTAAATTTACAAAATAATGTGAATAAACGTAAGATCTGTAAAATTACATGCATGCTTGTTTATTTTGAGTTCAGTTTGGAAATATTACATATATAAGAATGTATTTTTACTGATTTTGAATGTGTCTTTGATTTCATCACCGTCTATTGTAAAAAAAGACACGAAACTCTGTAAACATACACGAAACTCCGTTAAAATACGCCAGACTTGGTAAAACTACTACATTGTGGTGAACATACCGATAATTAAGGTACAAAAACTACTTGTACTACTGTAATTTTACAAAAATTTCTAACAGTGTATAGCTTTAAAGTATCTGGGGGTAATATAACTTTAAAGTATCTAGGGTAATATAGCTTTAAAGTATCTGGGGTAATATAACTTTAAAGTATCTGGGGTAATATAGTTTTAAAGTATCTGGGGT